ATAAATCTAGATTCTATATCCATTTGTACTTAACTACCATTACTTGCAACTGATTTTTGTTATTGTTTGTTAACCTTTTAACATGAATTTGTATGATTTGATTTTGTGATCATTTTGAAAATAAAATTAAGTAGGCCTATTATTTTGTAATGAGAGTATTTAAAAAAAAAAAATCAAAACTAGGCCCTATTTATAAATGGTGTCAAAATTGATATTTTTATGTTATTCAATTAAAGAAATTGATTTGCTTCCAGCATATTTGTCCATAGAAGACAAAAAAAAAATTAAAATGTTTAGGCCTAGCCCTAATCTATTTTTTTTTCATTTTATTATCCTAAAATGCTGCCAAACAGTTTAGTTTTACTTAAAGAGTAGGCCCTATATATATATATATATATATATATATATATATATATATATATATATATATATATATATATATATATATATATATATATATTTTTTACTAAAAATGTGTCCAGACATTTGGATATACACAGGGACACAAAATCCAAGCATAGAATCAGAATACTTCCCACTTTCCTCTGTGGCTTACGTAAATTAGTAAATAAATATAAAAAAAAAAACAATTGTTAACTGTGACGCTTTTTTTGGTGTAAATTAGCTCTTTCGGTTTAAATAAAGATCAACAAAAAAAAAAATACTCTGTATCTAGAAATAATATACAAGAAAAAATACAACTTGAAATATTTTATTTTTTTGAAGGCAATAATTATTATAATAGAAAAAAAAACATAAAAAAACATACAATGAGATTTAGATAGGAAGAAAACAATATACATTTATAAAAGGTGAAATAAATAATATTTAAAAGGAGGGAGGACAAATAAAGAACAAAACGAAATATGGAATAAGCTTTCAACAGTAACTGTACTAAAGATATATTAAATATATTAACGTAAAAGTATGCATACATAATAGTTATAATAAAAAAATCACAGTAAAAACTTTTGGAATTTTTAAGGTGGTAAAATGATGAAAAACTTGGCATTCACTCCCAAGAAAAAAAATACTGACAAATTCTTTCAAAATATAAGCACCTGAGTCACACCAAAGAAATTAATGTGGTTAATGTAGATCCTGAAATATTTACAGCATTTAGATTGTTGTCCCATAAAGATTATTATCATGCGGTAATTGCAAAGTTAAAAAACAAAAATTATCATGCAAACTGGCATATTGGTTGTTTTATATTAAAAAAGAGAAAATGCTGTCACATGATACAAAAGCCAAGAGTTGATAATTTTTACATGTACATGCATTTAATTATATAATTATGCACTAAAATGTCTGGTATATTTTGGCTTCATGACAACAGTGAAATGAACATGATGTCAATTGAGTATCACTCCTTTTCCTATGTTAAAGATTTTCTTATTTAGAGTTTAGAACTATATCAAAAATTGTTAAACAAACAAACAAACAAAAAACACATCTGTTTTGACTGAGCTGAATGTTCACAAATGAAAGCAGAAAAATTATTTTGGAAGTTATTATGTGTCACATGCCTACAACACATAGATATTGTGCAGAAAAAAAAAGGGGGGGGGGGGGGGAATCAACAATAAAAATTAATTGGAATACCTATCACAGATTATGTATCAATTTTATTTTTAAACACACTAGGTACTGTATTGGCTTCAATAAACATGTTTAATTATAAATCTACGGAGTTGAATTTTATGTCAATTTTTTTTACACCGAAAAAAAAAAAATAACCCCAAAATTTAACAAAAGGCACAATAAATGATCATGTGGTCAGTGCTGCATGAAGATAAGCCACAGGGAGAAGGTGAGTTCTCTTTCACAGGCTAAATATGTTTGGTTCTCAATTCAAAGCAGGGCAAAGTTTTGTTTAAGGATATTTTAAAATGACAAAAAAAAAATATCAGTTTTTAAAAAACAAATTTTCTTTATAAATTAAAAAAAAAAAAAAAAAAATAAATAAACACACCACTAACTGGCATTGTAGGGCTAGATCCAAACTATGTTAGATGAAGGAAAAAAAAGTTTCTATATGTTGGTTGTCATAGGTCTAAAACATCTATAAAATGACACAAATACTATTTAAAAGAGATCATACCTTTAATCTCATGCAGAAATAAAATTATTTATAACCAACTTCTTGAAAAAAAATAATTATAAAACATGGTTTAATACATGTCAGAATCACAAAAAAAAATATTCTTAGCAAAAACAATTTTATTGTGGAATGAGAAATAGTAAGAAAAACAATTACTTCCAAGAAAACATTTCAAACAGATTGAGCGATTGGTCCACAGCTGAAGAGACAACTCTTGACAAGGGAGAGAATCATAAAAAAAGAGCAAGGCAAGAACATAAAATAAACATAACTTATCAGTTTGGAAGTACGTTTTCAGTATATAATTCACATAGTTGTTTTTATAGCACAGTGTACATGAACAAAACAAGATAAGGAGAATCCTAATGTAATCAAATAAATACTGGTATGCTATCATGACAATTTTTTTTTACATAGAGCAACAAGTAAAAGACAAAGGACACTAGTTATTACCCATCACTTAAAACTATCAGTAAACTAAACGATTCTGTGTTTACCAAATAATTGAAACTTAAGATGTATGTGACCCGCCATCGTTTGGGTTATTTTCTAAGAAAATAAATTGGGAAATTATAGGATAGCAAATTTTCGTATTTAAATTAGACCTACTTCAAATAGTGTTACAGGCTAAAATATATATAGATCAATAAAAAAATATTTGTGTGAGGTAATTAAGACCACCATATATTTCTGTGTCTGAATTTATCCATGCATTTAAGGTTGAAACTGTTTTTAAAGCAGAAGTAAAAAATTTAAATGTCTTATAAAAGTTATCTAAATACAATGATGGCTTGAGAATAAAAAAGGACTCAGAGGTGCAAAATTACCCAAACTGTGATGGATCCATTAAAACAAGTCATTAACTTAAGAATTAATTACTAAGAGAAGAAAGGGCTAAAACATTGTAATGTATCAAAAAGTATTCACTACTTTTAAACCAAACACTCAGGTATTTTTTAATTCAGAGATTTAAAGGTTGTCAAATCACACCCAAAAAAATAATCATATGTAAGTGAACTACATATTAAAGCCTTTATAGTTAGCTGGTTAGAAAATTTGAATGACGAATATAATTAAATAAAGGACTGTTTCAACACTTAAATAAAGGAAAGGACCCCACTTTACAGAAATTTTTTAAAAATTATTGGACATAAAATATGAAGAAAATTTCATATAAACATTTCCTTTACTTTTTAAAATATATTTCACACCAATTTTAATCATCATAGGGCAAAATAATAAAAATTTAAGTTACAATTTCAGTTTTATTTAGTTAGAGTATAAAACAAGAATTAATTTCTGTTTTTTTTTAAAACTAATGGAACTAGTGAATGTGAGAAATGCTTAACTCCAGATCCAAACAATGCTTGAGATAGTTATACCCATACAAGAGAAAGAGAGAGGGAGAGAAATTTAATCATCTACAAAATATTGTGGTGGAAACGTGGTTGAAATTTTACAAAATAAGTCTTATAAAGCAATTTCAATCAGAATCACAGGATGTTATCAATTACAGAGATAAATAAGTTTCAAAGTACTAATCGATCAAAATCACGGAAATCTCGCCCACTGAGCATCACAGAACTTCGACATTTGATTGTAAATACCTATATCAACATTGCTACATTAAAAAATATTTAAAACCCGGATTTTCAATGTATGCATGGCCAGCCATGAAGACATACAAAATGTGTAAGTAAAGCTGTAATATCAATTTGCATTTATTGTATCGAGAATTGTAAAGAAATATTTTTAAGGATCTTATTATTTTATTCATTTTCAAATGCAACTTATGCTGTTGTTGAATTAATTTTAAAGTGTAGGGCATTTAAAAAAAAAAAAAATAGCCTTTTAAAATTTTAAAAGGTTACATTATAAACTGACTTGTAAATTGAAATTTTGCTGAGCTATCTTGAGAGCGATACACCTAGGAAGGATGTACAACATTTCTATAAGTTCAGAACTTTTCAACTTCAACACTATAAAACTTTTCTTTTATGTTTAATAACTAAACTTATTAATTACAAACAGAAAAAAGTTTACAAATGTTTAATAAATGAAAGCATCTTTTTTTTACCCATGAATTTATGAAGCATTAAGACAATATAATGCTGTATGTATCTAATCATAATTACCTAGTTGTAGTTCTTGTTAAATTTATTATTATGAAAAAAATCAAAGTAAAAAAACTACTTCCAAAGTTTACTAAATTAGAATTTTCTATTAAAGCTACACAATATTTAAAAGCTTACATCTAGCAAGCTTATTAAATGCCTAGAACAGTTACAAAATTCTGAAATTTAAAGTAAAGACTAAGTTGCGACTTTGTAAAGATAATTTGAATATAAAAATTTACAATAAAGTTGTGCATGATTTCCAAAGCAAAACAACCTAACCAAAATTACAAGTATTGTAATGAATAAAACATTACACATCTAATGTCAATCGTTTGTAATAAAAAAAAAAGCACATCAAATTTAAATATTGATTTATAACAAAAAGAAAAAAATTAAAATAAGATGGATTAAAGAAAATATTTAACGACACAGGAACAATTATATCAATAGTAAAAATGCTGAGACAAGCTGGTACATTAAGAGGATGACTAAGACAAATTTATATAGGTAGTGTAGTAGACAAAAATCAATATATAACAGTTTCTTGTTTCAAAGAGTTAATTATCTTTTGTTTTATTGTATATTTTTAACAAGCAACAAACAAGGTCCATTTTGAAGTATGAATCAGAAAAAAAAGATGGTTAACGAGTACAAGATGCTGACAACATGCAAACCAGTGAGGTGTAGATCAGATCTTACAACAGACCTGGCCATTCATGCAAGTTAACAGACGACTTCATCCACACATTTTATGACTTTACATATAAAGTAATCAAACATTTACTATAGCAAAACATATGACACTGGATGCACACACCAACCTGAATTAATTTTATCTAAGCTTATTAAATTTTTAAAGGATGCAATATCCACCATGATCTGGTAAGGGGTGATAGCAATATCTTTGAAAATTGATTTTTAAAAATAGCAATAAGGAACAGTTACTACCATTTGTCTCAGGCTCACTTAATCTTACATTGCTAGACTTTCTGGCTTTTATTTATTTCAAGCAATCAGTTTTCAGGCTGCTAGTTTTCATGCAATGAACCTTTCAGTGTTTTGCTTTAATGTGATCAACAGACCTAGCATATATCTACCTATCATTACAGTTCCATATATTTAAAACACTTTTTACAAACTATCTTTTATTTCAGGATGTATACCAAGCATGTATATAATATTAATAGTCAATAATAAAGTGTTAATTATTTGTAGCTTTAAAATACTACCATTTATAAATTACCTGTAATATTGGTTATATGCCTACACTGAATTTGAGAAAATACACTTTAAATATAAAATGATATAATACAGTGGCTTAGTAAGGTATAATGTTTAAATTGTTTTATTAAATACAACACATAAATTTATTCTCTTTGATTATAAAACGACACAAATTTTTAAATTGTCAAAGTGGAACATCTTTCAAGACAATGACACAACTGAAACACAAGCCTGAACTAGATGAAATATATCCAAGTGCTTTGCATACATATACAATAATAATTATTAGAAATATACACAATTTTTTTTGGAGACATCATATTTGAACAAAAACAGATTGCTAGAAAAGGAATATTAAAACGCAATTAGGTGCGGCAGAAGGGAATCAATTTCTTATAACAATTGGAATAAAAAAAACAGTTTTAAATTTTGTAAAGGGGAAATATGACCTTGCTGACAATAACTGTGTTTTTATTAAATTACTCAATTGTGCATATCAATTGATGAAATCTATCATGTATTTAAATTACTTCATTCAAAAAGCATTTCTTTACCAACAAAACAGAACACAATTACAGCTTTTTAAAAAAAAGACATTTTTTACACAGTTTACGAAAAACAAAATTCAGCACAAAAGCATGTTATTTTAAAAGAATAGAAATTTAACAAACAAAAGAGAAGGGGGAGAATTAAAATTTAACATGTTGGTTACATGTAAGTGAAATATTAATTATCACAAGAATTGGAAGGGTATTATGTACAATTATTAAAAAAGTGCAATTATGTATAAGGAAATTAGAAAAAAAAACAATTCAAACATGCATGAGAAGTTAATAAATAAAAAATGCATGAACATTCATAGTAATAAGTTTATTATTGTTGAAAATGTTTCAAAGTTTGAAAAGTCTGTTGCAAGTTAACACATCATATTAATAAAAATACATTTCAGGCTTCTATATATATAAGTATTTTGTTTGTTGTCTATTGGTACAACTTTTGTGGTTTAAATATAACATCTATACCAAAAAAAGCCAGTGTAAATATCTGTGTAAAGGGGAGGGCTTTGGTTGATTAGTCTCAGGTGAACCATTAAAGGGGTAGGGTTTAACAATTTAGTCACACAAAATGTAATTTGTTGCAGATTTTAACTTTATAACTGCTATATAAGATCAAATATGCTTATTTTCTCCTTAATTCTTGATAACATATTTTTGTATTTACCTCAAAGTTTTAAAAAATTTGTCTGAATGTGTTTGTTTTTGCTTAGCTTTCAGTTAACATCCAAACACCTGGTGAGTACAGCATTAAAAATTAACAATAACAAAATTTAACTAACATTATCATGTTTTTAAAAAATAGCTGGCCTAGTTTAGCCAACATAGCAAAATCTTATTAATGAATTGTACATCAAGTGTTGGAATAAATTTTTTAAGATGAAATTCAAATCAGTTATGTATAGATTCAAATGCTTTGGCCTACAAATAGACATAAATATTTATTTATAAATAAACCAGACTACTTGATTATCTCAGTAATATTAATGTTACATCCTTTTCTTTTTATATTAAACTTGAATGTATCAGTTGATACAAAAAATCCCCCCCCCCCTATTTCTTATTATCATTAGTTATAAAATGAACAATTTACTTATCTATTTAAGATTTTTGAAGTCCTATTTAGTCATTTTTAGAATGGTTTAAAAAGAAATATAGAGCTTGTTAAGCATCTGTTTCTTATTCCAAAATTATTAAAAAGTTGGAAAAAAACCCATTCAATATTCTTCATCACAGAACAATCCATTTCCATACTGCAATAAGTTTAAAAAAATCCAAATCACAATATTTTATAACTAGGAAAAAAAATGTAATCAGTTCGGCTACACATTAGATTACAGGTACTAAAGGTAAAATTCATGGTAGTTAGACTATGCTCTTATTTCAAACTAATGTAAATCTATCTCATGAATAGTATTCTTGCAGTATGGAATACTTTACAGGACAGCTTACAAACAGGACAACCCATAGGCAGTACAGCCAATAGACTGAACATGAGTTCACATAAAAGATTATTCATTCACTACTCACTTTGGCTAGTTTGTATAAGTAAAAAAAAATGTAAAAGTAGCAAAGTGTAATGCATCGGTGAAATACTTAAACATTTTTGTGACTGACAGCAATGATGGATAGGAAGTCAACTAAATTCAAAAGCAACATCAACAAATTGGTATTTTCAAACAGATAAACTATTCATTGATTTACAAAACCGTGCAGTTTGATAGTAAAAGGAAATTACAAATAAAGTCTATTTATAAGAACCAGTGCTGCAAGAAATGACAAGGACTCAATCTCACAAAAAAACCATTTGGTGTTTTATAGAGCATGATGGTTAATGAGGGGAGGGAAGAATGGTTAAATATCCACATGTATCAACACCAGTCATCATCGTCTTCATCTGAGTCCTCTTGAAGCGCTGTGTGGCTGTCGCTCCTCATTTCATATTTCTCTGGCTTACGTCCCTTGTGCTTGAAACCGTTTGGTAGAATTCCTCCCCTTGATCTGCTCCCGCGTGCAGGGCTCCCCTCTTGTTGGCTGGCTGCCATAAATCTGTGGTCTTGTCGTCCACTCTCAGCGGCTCGTGGGTCAGGCGACCTGGATGACGGTCGAGGAGACGGCCGAGGCAAGGACCGTGAGTCTCTACCCCCTTCATTAGAACCCCAGTTCGAATCATCTCGGGGGTAACTACTAGTTCTGTGCGCGCCCGGGAGGGTGCTAGACCTTGAAGGGTCAGAACTTTTATTCAAATTGTTTCTTTCTGTAGGACTATATGGCTCAGGTCTGCCTAGCCTCCCTGGTGGAGGGGCGTGGCGGTGATGCTTAGGAAGGGGTGATGCAGCAGCAATGGAGGATGTGGCTGAAACAGGGATGTTGAGTTTAGGAACACGTGTCGGTGATGCGTTTAGTCTGGGGAAGTTTATATTCCCTCGACCAGGGGGCGAGACAGCGCCACGGACAGGCAGGGTATCTTTGGTTGCTATGTTGTCTCGGTAACGAGGCTCCGACAGGTTGAGAGAAACTGGCTTGGCCGGCGACGTCGTCGTCGTGCTTCCACTGCTGCTGTTCGATGACGGTGCCATCGGTAGTCGCCGGTGTGCCCGGTTCGACATTGGTGGGCTGGCAGCCGCCATTGAGGGCGACGGGGATCTGGAGCGTTGAACAAGACTGGTCGATCCACTTCTAGGCGGGGGAGAGGCTGTCAGATTGGGAGAGGGGCTCCGGGATCTGGTCTCCAGAGAGGTTGACCGGTAGAAGCCAGATTCACCTCCTATCCTGACACGAGGCTGAGCTGGACTGGGCAGAGGTGACCCCAGGACAGGAGACTGAGCCTGCAATGGTGGCCTTGACCTCTGCCTAGATCTACCTCTGAAGGTTGGAGACGATGACGTTATACTGTCTTCTGTTTTCATACCTGTAAGAAAAGAAAGTTTGCAATGAATCCTTCATAACCTACTTTTGAGTGTTAAAAGTTTTTATTGCAATACATCATGTTATTAAACTGAAACAAAAAATTAAATTTATTAAAATAATTGTAAATGTTACACAAAATTAAAGAAGCTTACTTCCTTTACTGCAGGTAGTTTTCTTTTATAGTTTTTTTTAACATCCCAATACATCATAAAAAAATAAACATTAATGAATATTTTAATATATGTGTGTTAAAAAAATCACAATAAAAAGTAATGAAAAGATGTTAATGGATTTTAAATAAAAATGTAATACAAACCATATCTCTTTTGTCTATCCTGGTCTGCAATAGTGTGAGCTTGCTCACAGAGATTAGCTACAGCAGAAGCAAAACCAACATCAAACCTACGAGGTGAGGGCGACCGTCTGGAGGGTATAGGGGACGCCCTGGGGGAGCTGAAGGGGCTCTGTGCCCCCAGGGGTGACCTCGGAGACAGTGGTGTTTGTGGCAGGGAGGGTGATCTTGCACCAGCTCTGTCACCCCGGCCTGTCAGTGCTGAAGCATGCTCCGGTCTAAGTCCTCCAGAAAAATCAGTGCTGGGCTGAATAAAGAATGAACATAGAATCAAATTTTGAATAGAGGCCTACACTATAGGGGATGCATTGCTATGTAAACATTTTATTAAATATACATAAATTATAAAAAAAATCACTTCAAAAATTGCTAGGGAATCAATGTTTAAATTCAGAATTATTCATAAAAATCTGTACTGGTTATCAAAATTATTAATTTGTAAAAATGTGAAACTGAAAAAAAAGTTTGAAATATTAATGATTTTTTAAAGTATTTAAAAATCTTTTTCTGTGTTATCTTCTCCTGTGTAGTTAGGTCTCTAAGGTTGACAAAAAAAGTATTTAAATAATATGAAAGCAAATAATGGATAAACTGAAAATTTTTAAGCACCCTTAAATATAAAGATATGATGGTACCATTTGAATATACAGTAATTAACCAAGTACCATTCAGATATGAAGCTATGAACAAGTAGATATATAGCAATAAACCAATCCTGTTTCAAAATACATCTATGAACTCGTACCATTTAAAAATTAATTTATAAACTGGCACATTCACATATGAAGTGTCACAACTTAAAGTTATTCACCTCACATAAAACCTGCGCAATTTAAATTAAGTAAAAAAAAATTAGCTCATCAAGAATAATTGCATAAGTTCTATACATTCGACTTGACTTAACCTTAAACTGTAAAACTGTCTCTATTAGCAAGTTAAAAAGCACGTTGGAAGAAAAAAAAGCAAGGACAAGAGCCAAAAACATAATTAAAACAAATTTTACTGAATAATTAATATAAGGATACACTTGTTTCTTAGTTTTTGTCTAGTTTAATTAAAAAAAAAACTGCAGCCTCAGGCGCGCTGTAGTGTTTAGCAGTACTGATTGTACTCCATCTTTGTTCTTAAAGTGTTTAGCACTTTACTCCAAAACACTTTTAACCCTATGGCAACTAAATTACAGATGGGCTACAACTCGGTCTTCAGCTATGAGTGAAGTAAATTGGCTTTTGGAGTGGAGATATATTACAGTAGACCAGATGCTGTGCTTTTTATGGAAGAAATAGTTTTGGAATAACAAAAGATTATTAATGTAAAATTTGTATAAATTTATTTTTGAGATTTAGATGTAGACATTTTTAAGAAAAAATAAGAAGTATTTAAGCAAAGAAAATCATACAGATTCTATGACTGAAATAATTTCATTTTAGGCAAGTTAAAATTATTGAGTTGATTTTAGGAATAGAATATGGCAATAAATAATCAGTCTACTTTTTATTTTGTGTTCTGAATGCCCTAATAGCAATGTTAAAATCAAATTTAAAAAACCAAATAGACAACATTGGCTTAGTGACAACAAAAAGAGAGATCTCTTTTTCAAGTGAATTTTGTACAGTGGTAGTTTTTTTTTTCTGAGAAAATTTGATCCTGCTTGACTCTGGTTTAATTTTTATTGGGGCAACACATTTTTGCTAATTTACTTTTAAGAAAAGAGTCATCTTCCCTCAAATCATGTAGGTAATCCACTAGTTTTTTAAAATTATGTTATGAAAATGGTAAAAAAAAAAAATCAATGTAAATATGTATACTTTGAATTCTTTTTTTCTATACTAAAATTATAATATCAGCCATAGAATTTCATAAAATATTGAAATTCAAGTTTTTCCCTTTATAATCTATATTATATTCTTTTAAAGAAATTTCCAAACTAAGTAACAATTTAAAAAGGTAAGACTTTTTAATGTCCTTTGTTTATTCTTATTATAATAGACAGAAAAGTCTGATTTAATTTCAATGAGTTTAAAATTTAACCTTGTTCATGCAGACACTGAAATATGGCAGCACATAAAACACAAAAAATTGTGTCTTAAATTATACATAAGTATTTTAAATGTATGTCTGAACCCAAAATTTATATTTAGGGAGAATATTAAGCAATTTATATTATTCATAAATTAATCTCTATTGGCAAAAAAATAAATAAAATATTTTTTGTAGGATTTGAAATATACTTTTGAAAAATTAAAAAAATTAAGCCTTGAATAAGTAATTTTCTGAATCAGTCTTACAATACCTCAATAATATTGAGAAGTATTCAGAAAGAAAGTTTACCAAAAACTTTTGATAAAAAATTTACTAAACAATAATGTAAAGTTGGATGTTTAGCTGTAATCGTTAAGACAATAACAAACATCCAACAAATAAAACAGTAAGGCTCCAAAACTCATCAAGAAATGTTCAGCAGACATTAAAAAACCCACATTGTTACTGTTAAATAAATAAAGATTTTACAAAATGTTTTACCATATTTCAAGGGTACAATTAGTACAAAAATGGAGGAGAATTTTTGGGAAATTTTATTAGAGAAAATAAGTTGTTAAAAGTATTTTAGTATATAACCATAATCAATAAATTTGGTTAGTTAACTTCATAACTCAAGGTATGTATTGAAGACAAAGGAACATTTTTATTTTAGAAATCATATTGTTGATTGATATTCACATGCTATTGCAGCAATATTTTTTTGTAGCATGCTCTCCACCATAAACACATATATCTATAAATATATAACATACCATTATAAAAATATGATATTTTCTTTTTTAATTAATTAATTGAAATATGCCAATAAAATAATCTCAAATACTTGGACAGGAAAACATAATCAGTTAGCTGCAAAATGAAGCTCGAAAGATTTACCAAGAGAGTACATTTCTTATGCTTTTGTGTTTTAAAAACAATATTCGTTTTAACAAGACAAATGCAAATTTTTTTACAACAACTTCAGGACATTTAACATTTCATGCCTTCACTTTACAATGGCTTAGATATTGACAGTTATTTTGTTCAGTTTCTTTTTCAATTTAGACTTACCTAAAAGTTATGAAATTGTAAAATAAAAAGTGAAAGACAATTTCCCATAAGTATATGAAACAAACATTTCATTATAGTAAGAGTTGAATCTGACAACAACTGGCTTCAAAATGTATCACATTTGCATACATTAAAATAGAACCAATTAACGAGCTTAGACAGGAGATGAAGGACCAACAACAAACACGAGGGTGGGGTCAACCACGGCCACTATAAAACTCAACCAATCACCTCGTTCAGTTTGGACAACGATGCTGTGATTTCATTGGCTGCTTGAGCTATGAGTGAATGTTCACTGCCATTCACATTTTGTGTTGAGACACTTGGGATGTCTTTAAGCTCCATACTCTGAATGATATAAATTGAATGGCAATGGCTCTGAGCTTAGTGAGGTCGTTATTAGTTTTTACTCAAGGCAATTTCTTCCTCAGTTTGTTCAGTATCGGAAAACACACAAGCCCCCAAGTGTTTCATATGATTTTTACTTTCTCGGACACGAAGTATAGAGGAAGTATGGTTTATTAAGAAAATAAAGAATCTTTATTTTGTTTTAATGAACAACAATTTTTTTTTATGTTACTGCAGGGAAGCATCATTCATATTTTAGAAAACGTTAAAAAAATTTAAAGGGATCAAAATGTGTGCATTGAATTGGAAATAGAAAACAATAGGGCTAACCAGGAGCAAAAGCAAGCAACCTATCGCTTAAAAAAAAAGACTTTTTTAAACAGTTTTTAAAGTAGTTTGAAATTCAAACTCATCCTATTTTTGAACACCCCATTTTAACATCTCTAGTAAATGAATAAGTAATGAATATTAATAATATAACAAAATTTTAAAAGCAATTTTGTAATAGAGCCACACCATACCAGATGGTAAGAGGAAAAGGTTAAGTTAAAAAATAAACCATCACCTTAGGATAGAGGTGGGAGTAGTTTCTCAAACAACTAAATTAAATTTTTAAACTTTCTTTTGGAACTCTTATTAAACTGTTCTAATTCATTAGGGGAACTTTTAAAAATCTTTTTTTTTTAAATTTCATATATAATCTTAAACACGAGAACATGGTTGCAGAGTTTCAGAAGAACAAAGAATAAAATAAAATAAATTTAATTTGAATTTAATTTAAATTAATTATTTGAGAAACTTTTCCTTAAGCTGTGTTAAAAAAAGAACCTTGATCCCGGGAAAGATCTGAAAAATGCTACCTTGTTACAAAAAGGTATAGGTGTACGAGAGCTGGGCAACTCATCCGGAGTAAATGACTTATTGATATATCCACGAAACCGGGGACTGTAATGTGCCTAGCATTCATAAATATCAATGAAAGAAACATTTATTTTTACACAACGCTTTTCAACTTGAATTATTTAAACTCTATTGAAAATCTACGAGTAAATCACAATGTTCCTCCATGTGTTGAACAAAATTAAAATATTCTTTCAAAAGCATAATAGTGCCTGTTGACATATGTCAAAACAGTTTTAAACTGTTGTTTCAGAAGAAAAAAATTTGAATTCAATGCATTTGAAAAGAATTTCCAAGATGCAAATATTAGAAAAAGAAGCCCAATTGTAAAATTTCTATCTTAAACACATGCTGTAAATGTAACCTTGAACATACACAAAAGTTTTATGATGTTGCTTACTTATAATATATAGAAAATATATTTGATTTTTAAAAATTGAATTAAAAAGTTATGCTTGATATGAAATTATATCAGCATTTATTAAATAGTAATAACCTAAAACTATTATTTTAAATAAAAATTAAACTTTGGTACACTAATAATAAATGAATATTTTGAATTGTTCTATAATAGCTGTCTAGTTAAAATTCTGGATTAAAGTTTGGTTTAAGATTAGAAGTAGAAATCTATGTTTTTCATCTTATAATTTTACAGTGTAGAAAGTAAATTAATCAATAAACAATACGAATCACATGGTTTTTTAAAATATTGGTACTTTGGCTAGTAAATGACATTGTAAACACAGACTGAATGATGTACTTTCAAGTCAAAATGTAGTTTGACTGATGAGTGAAGGACAGATTTAAATAATTAAAAAAATCTTTTTGTTGGGTTGTTCAATAAATGTGCATCAAAAAAAAAAATCAAAATTAAAAAAAATCTGATCAATGATTTTTTCTTTGAGAATTTTTTGTAATTCATTGTCAAACAAGCCCAATAATTTTACTGGGAAAAAAATCATATGCTGTTAGAAAAAAAAGTGAAGATGTCTTAACAAGAAAAGGTGAAATGATAATGTGAACTATATAAAAAATATGATTTCAGTTATTTCCAAAACAAATATGACAAAATACTACACAATAGGCCATAGATCATTACAAAATATATTTATATCCAACTTCATTTTCAAAATTTCATTTTCTGTATAATAATTTCTACAAAGGTCTGATCTATGAAACTACTGCTTGATATGAGTGCAATGCTAACAATTTATCCAATGCAAAAGGCCATAAGTCGTAACCAAAACATAATTATATTTCAACTTAAATTTCACAATTTCATTTTTCATAAATCTTTTTATAAAGTTCTCGGGGAAATTTGAAACTGAAATCATATGGTCATATCAGAAACCTAGGAGAATAAAAAAAATCAAGGTTAGGGCTGACAAACAAGTTACTGACCTGCGTATTAGAGTTATCCCCTGGGTCACCTCCCTTCCTTCTTTTGCTGCTATTCCTCCTAAGAAAACTGAAAGAACGAGGTTGGTTCCAGTCATCTCCCTTGTCAATACTTTAGACAGCAAAAGGTGCCAGACAACATCCAAATACGATGCAATGAAATACGGCATACGTGGTACAACATCAAGTTATAGTACATCAGAGCATGTCATATGGTTGGTGACATCGGGTTGTAACAACATCCAGATTTGGAAGAAATTTTTATAAAAAAAAGTGGAAGCATGGGTAAGTAACACAGATATAGCAGACAATGTAGAGGTTATTTTTTTTTAAATTGTGACATTTAAAAAAAAAAAACATGAAAAAATGTATTGCTTTTTTGTTTCAGCAAAAGTGCAATCTAAAATATATTATGAAGTTCTCACAGGAAAATAAAGTATTAGTTTATAATGTAGTTTACAAGTTGAAGAATCTTACAGACACAAATAGCAGCAAAGTGGATACACATTTGCATTTATAGCAAAAGCTTAGAAGGGGGAAACTGAGCAGCTTTAAACTTTAAAATTTTTATTCTCAAAAAAAAAAAAAAAACCTAACATCTTAGTTTAATTTGTGAGACTTTCATATGGTATTACAGATCATGTATTTGTTAAAACAAAAATTAATATTTTTTTAAAATTAATTAAATTGGTTTAGATTTTAAATGCCAAATATTACTTGAGAGGTGACAATGCTAAAACAAAGCTGAATCAGTGTAACTAAAACTAAAAAGATTACCTAATCTTAAAACTTAGTTAATCTATAAAACATGGCTTAAACATTTTAATTAACTGTGCATTGAAGGGAGGCAATTGGGTCTGAGGATTCACAACAATAAATGCAGTTTTATCTAGTGATTTGAATAAATGTTTTCCCAGATAAAATCCAAATAAACAAATGTATTATGCTGAAAAATTTTTAAATTAAAAAAAAAAATGTGAAATTTAATTTAGACTTCTAAATAAACAAATATATCAATATTTGGTCTTCAGACCAGTTAGGAAATACAACTTTACATTATGATTAATAAATGTTAAGCATGTTGTTACACATTTGTTTTGTAATATATAAATATCTATACAAATGTATATATATTTCATATATGTGTATAATATATATATAGTTTATATATGTACACACATTATACTTTTCACTGTAAGCTGGATACAACATAAAAAGTGCACTGATTCACAGAAGCATAAAATTACGGTATTCAACATCTTAACTTAAGCTAAAAGAAAGGTCTTGGTTTTATATATATATATATATATATATATATATATATATATATATATATATATATGAGTGTGTTTGTATGTATAAATATATAAATAAAACTATATAGGCCTACTCCAAAATATACAATTTAAAATGTTATTAACTCTAGAAAATTGGAGTGTTATGATTTATTTAAAACTTATTACTTTAACATAAAGTATACACAACAGAAAATGTGGATTTATTGAAAAAAAAGGCTATGGTTAAGTATTTTTATATTAATTACTTTGAAGTTTAATATTCTCTTAATGTTTATTAAATACGAATGTTTCTAAATAATCAAGAATGTACCCAAATTTTCTAGAATCAAATTGGATCAATGATAACCATTAGGTGTTTAATTTCCCAATATAACTTTTTGGCAAACAACTGTATTACTACGCTAAATTTAAAGGATATAATTTTCTACTGTTTGAGATCAGTGCTTAGTTACCAACTAGTGACCAATATGGTACTAAGAAACAACTTTAAACTCAGGGTACTTAAAATGTCTATGGTAGGTAAAAATTGTAAAACACATGCTAGAAATCAAAAGCATACCTTTGTCCTCCGCTAGTGCCACCCCCTCCACTGCCCATCCCACCACCTCCACCAGCTCCACCGCCACCTCCTCCTCCACCCCCTCCACCACCACCATCATTGTCATCAGAATGTTCAGAGTCCAGAGACTGGCTTGACCTGGCCGAGGATGTTCTCATTCCACCCATCAGCCGTCTGAATAAAGATGGTCGCTGAAATCATAAAAACATTTCTCGTAAGAATAATATAAACTTGAGAAATCAAGTCTTTCAAATTTAAAAAACATAAAAAAATATAAAGAAACAAAAAAAAAATTAACAAAAATGCTCAGCTAAACATTCAATTTACTTTAAGCTTAAAGAGAATGTAAAATTATTCAAATGCTTAGTTATAATAAAAGATGCGACTTTGACAAATTTGTTAGCATAGGCCAATATAAAGTTATAACATATAATAATAGCATACAGCATTACAAAAAAAGGATAATTGAAATGTTTGCACAGAATAAGATTTATAAAATTAGGTAATATTTTAAATATGATTACACAGAACAAAAGCTAACGATTTCTTAAAATTAATTTTTTTGGGCAAATCTTTATTTTCAATTACATATAATGTCTTGCAATTTTTTTTCCACAAAAGGAACCTTCAATCAAAAATAAAATTTGAGATTGAATGGCTTAGTACTTAATTGCTTTTTTAATTTATTTTTTTGAAATCACAAAAAGTCTTAATCAAGTATTAATAATTTAATCAAGCGCAGTGTTCTTATTCTTATTCTTGAAGTTTTGTTCTGTGAAATATGAAACCAATATAGAAAAAATTACCACAACTTATAGATGTAATATTATAAAAGTAAGTATAGTAAGATTTTCTTTAATTAAATTACAACACTAATAGTTAGTAGTACCCTACAAGACAAATGTTTAATCGTCAGCCAAAAGCATTCAAAAATGACAAAGAACACAGAGTGAAGCAACAAGCTTAATTAAGAATCAAAAGTAGTGTACCATTTAAGCAGTGCTATAAGCATTAATAAAGATAAATGTAGAAATGTGCTTGTGAATACATATAATATGTGTATAGCCTATATCTTATACCATCACCAAATGACTATATTTTATAATAATTTAAAATACTCTGTCCAGCCTACTTGAAATTCCTATTACTAGCAATTGAACCCTTAATCTTTTATATACACATATATTTACACCACATATATAATTGTGATTTTAGTTTAAAAAGCCAATCTCCATAAAAAGAAACAAATTATAGATTGCATAAAATGTTTTCACTATAGTCATTGGGCAATATTTTCTATATATGGATCGGCTAATGTTGAATTCCTGTTTATTATTTAGATTTAAAGTTCTCCTTTTACTCAATTAGATTTAATGGCTTTTCCTTATGTCTAACACATATAAATGTATACAAATACAAAATGTATACAAGTCACACTTAAATATATACAGAGACACAAGGAATACAGGTAAATGCATTTAATAAAAGAGGAAAAATTTTTAAATGTAGTTTAAGATAGTCTATAGGAAATATTATTTTTACATGCAATTTTCATGCTTAGAAAATTTTTTAACAGGTTATATTGTGCTGTGCAGATTTTCTAGAGTTGCTTTCAATCTCTGTGTCTTAAGTTATCAAGAAAATTAAAGTTGAGAGATTCATTCTGTTACAGACCTTTCATGCAAACTTCAATATACAAAACAAATAAAACATTTCAAGGACAAAATTTACAAAATTATTCACAGTAAATTTAAAAAAAAAAAATGTTTTAAATATAATTTTTTTTAGAGACAATAATTTAAAAAATTAACAATCAATAGCCTAAAGAAATTAAAATGCTAGTAATAATTTTTTTGGGTGACTAATTCTTTGCTTAAGATAAAACATAGCTAAACATGCATGTGACATTAAAATGACACTTTTAACAAAAAATACAAAGAATTTTTTAATAAGCTGTATTACCCAAGGCAAGCTAAATTAGTGATAAGCTAATAAATGTTATGTTTAATAAACAAGTTAAAAATTATCTCATGCTGAAGAAAATAAGTTTCTACATAATTTATTTTCAAAAATAAAATTGTGAAAAAAAAAACATTTTAAAAATGAAGAGAAGAATTTCAAGACATTAATTTAAAAGTGTAGCATTCACTTATTCGACCTGTGTAGTGAATGTAATACACCATGCTACGGCGGCTATAATTTAGAAAAAAAAACAAACTAAAACAAAAATATAATAACTTTTCAGAAATGAAATCTTATACAAGGATTCCAAACAAGCAACTCCTGTTAAAATAAAAAGACAAAACCATGCTTGAAACAAAACAAAACATCTGGGTTTTTCCCCAAGTCTTACGCCAAAGGTGCTCTGTAGTGAGGTGTAACATGCCGTGATGAGAAGATCAAATTGTAAGTAACAACCAATATGGTGAAATATTTTAAGACATCTAATTGATGCCGATGTGCTTTTTATATTAGAACAATTGTAAATTTAGGAAAGGAAACTAATATAATAAAATCATAAAAAAATAAATGAAACAAAAATATTCCCAAGATCAATTAAATATAAAGAAACCAAGCCATCTAAATGAAGAATGTCATCTTTAGTGTTCTGAAATGTCAATTTTGCTTCTTTTAAATGTTACCTTTTCGTGATGGTTCTGAGAGGAAAATATAAAAAAACAGACAAGCGTCTTATAATTGCATGTGGAAGGTTTCATGTGTAATGCAAATTTTGCAATGCAATATGACTCATGACAAAAAAATTGAATATAAAACACATGCTACAAGGTACAACCATTCAAACTCTCAAATACTGTTAACAATGTAAATCAACCATCCACAAAATTTGGGAAAATAGTTCATATCATTTCATGACAATCTCAGCCAAGAAAATGCATAATGTAAAACATTGCATACAAGTAAAAAATAATTGCTACAACTGTAATGTTTTTAAAATAGCAATATAACCTGCAACAGCACTATGGCAACTGTTTTAAAATTAAAATTACTTTTGCATTTAACTACAAGTTGCTTAAATGTAAAAAACAATAAATTTCTAAGAATATTTCAAGAAACATAAATTTGAAAATGAAGTTTATTGCAATTCTAAGACTAGTGTGTTTGAAAGGAAACAGTCGTAATCATAATTCTACAAATACGAGTCTGTGGTCAGCACCATGCCTTGCAGCTGTATTAGCCCTTAACAAGCCAGCTGTTTATCAGAGCTGGATGGACCATAAACAGCTTAAATTATGTTTTAAATATCAAAATGTAGCACAGCATTCTACATTTGAACAACTTTAACTTCCTTAAATATATACACTTTTATAAAAATAAAAACAGTAGTTTAGAGAACTAATTTTGTAAAAATAATTTAAAAAATTGAAACATTTAGAAGTTTGAAAAAAGAGATCAATTTCTTCTCATCCAATCAGAAACAAAAACAGTTTTTCAATTATATAAATATTTTTTGAAAGGGTAAAATATTTTCTAGATGAAATGAAAAGAGGCTTCAAAATTAAAAAAAGATTTGCTATTATAAAGTATGTAGAAAAGGGTTTTATTTTTAATAATTTTTTTATACATATAAGAGTTTTTTTTTTGCTATTTGATAAAATAGTTTTTTCAGTTTTCTTTTAACTACTATATTTAGGTCTTTAATATATTTTATTCTAACAGTGACTATCTAGTGATCTACTGGAAATTAGGCTAAAACTCTCTAATTTAAATATTCAATTTGCTTTATAGAATGTTGAATACATTGATTCTAACCATACTAATAACTAATTTAGATTATGCATAATGCACCTTGGTAAAAAGGAATTTACAAATTAAAATGGTTTCATTTCTACAAGAGTTCTGATTTATTTATTTACCTTGTTCAGGTGGGGGCCCTGTAGGTAGGTATATTTTTACTTATGATTTTACAGAAACAGAGGGTTCAAAAAATTACATGGCTTACAACAAAGAGTTGAACAGTTTATATGAAAAATTGAGTTACCTAAAGAGTGCAAATAAAAAAAATAAGTATTTTTCATTCAGATAGTGAAAATTGTGAATTATTTGCCTTTAAAAAAGAACAATTGAGTGTAATATTAAAAAAAGAAAAGAAAATGTATTAAATAATAAATTAGGAAAAAAAAGTTAAGTATTTTGTAAACAATTTTTCAATTAAGTAATTTTATATGAATTTTCTAAAATCAAGGCCACTTTCACCATATTACTGAAATAATTTACCAAAAGATAAATGTTAAATAAAAACGAATTATGTTTTACTTAAATAGAAATACGTAAGACATGGAATACACAGGGAATCGACACTGAAAGCATAGACTATGTTTTGTACAGTGATGACGAGAAAAAAGTTCATGCAACTTTCTGTTTTTAAATCACATTTAACAGGCTAACACTTTTGAAGTGAGCGCCATCTGAGTATATTATGAAATAATAAGTGTCATGTGAGAAGAAATGTTTGTCAGCAAGTGAGAGTACACTTTCCAGGCTAGCTTTTATTCTTCGAACAAGTTAAATTATCTGTACATTTACCCATTTCTCTGATGTAGGTTAGTAGCCATTGTATCATTGCACAAAATATTTTCAATAACAAACTTAGCATTATTACTCTGTAGTCTTTGGAGTAAGTAGTTTGCTAGAAATGAATATTAGAAAAATTAAAAAATAGCTTGTGAAATGCCAGGCAAGAGATACTCACCATTTTAAAGTTGTTGGAGGCATTCTGGCTTGCTTTGTATGCTTTCCAGTTCTCAGAGATCAGCAAACCTGCATAGATTTTTCCTACAGACATTTTCCCCTCATCCAGTTCTGTAAAAGAAATTGAAAAAAAAAAATTTAAAACCATAATAATTCAATCACACGTCTGCCTTAACAAAGTGTGAAAACAAAATTTCCTAAAAAATTTTTTTTACAAAAAAAAAATATTCAAGGACATCATTAAATTCAATTTAAGCTTGACAAATACAAAAAACTCTGCTTAGCATTTAAAAAAAATTGACAACTTGTATGATTAACTGTAGTGACCAGAGGTCAGTGTGATGTTTGAACAACAGAGAAACTTACCATCACTTGGTGGCATTAGAAGGTCCATCATTTTTTTGCCGTGAACTGGCCAAAGTTTGCGAATTCCCTCTCTCATCTCTTCATCCCTTCTGTCCATTATTTCAGCTGTAAAATTTACAAAAATTCACTTTCACAATTTATTTAGTAGCTTAGTCCTTTGTGAAAAATATTTTTTTGTGTAAATCTTTTTCAAGTTTTATTTAAAAAATATATTATTATCTATGGAAAGAAAAGTAATCTAAGTACCAATATAAGTTTTTTCTATCAGAAGAATCAATTTTAACTTTGTGTTATCCTAAAAAAGGGTGGTATCTCCAATACAACCTGTCAGTTTATGGGATACACTTTAAATATGGAAGGTTAGGTAGAAGTGGGTCAGTAGGTAAAAGAGATTGGGGGGGGGGGGGGTTCAGAATGTCAAGGAGTAATGTAGTATTTTACTTCCCTATCAGATTAGATGGTCGAAAGGATGGGTGGAGCAGATGTTATCGGGATTTCTCCAAGTATTTTAAAGAGATTGTGTGGTCATCCCCTACCCAGCAGCTTTTCCCCAACATATTAGGGGAACTCTGTGATGTCCTGTGGGCTTGAATTAACAAGCTTATTCTTCTTCTTCTTCTTCGTTCTTAATTGTTAGTGTTGAAGGGGATCGAGATTTATCTGCGAGTGGGTTTGAACTCGAGACTTTGTTCGAATTTATCAACCATGAGCTTTTTGCCGACTCGACCACGCCTCCAACACAATTAAGCGTTACGTGTCAACTGGTTATGCGCCATTGAGGCCATTGACTCCGATTTCAGCCTGCTTTTTTTTTGGATTTGCTTCCATAGCCTTTGTCCAACCAAGAACAAACTACAAGGCAGCAGTTGTTTAATTTTGGAGTTGTCTCTCCTAGAAGAGTGGCTGTCCCCAGCTAACGAGCGTCATCTGCCCGAGGGTTCGAACTCGAGACTTTTCGGTTTAGCAACCATGAGCTTTACCGACTCGACCACGCCGAACCCTATTAACAAGCTGAACTCGAGACTTGTGTGAGCACACATTTCTCAATGTCATTATCTCTTACACATTTTGAAAATGAAGCTAAATTAATAATTGAATTACCTGGCCCCATTTTGATAATTAGACACTCTCTAATTAGTGCAAATAATGTTGTTGTAAAATGGACTGTTCCATCTTCTGCTACTGGCATATTCATTCGAATAAGTTTCTGGTGAAATAAAATTAGAATACTCTAATTATAGTATACTAAATATTTATAAAAATAAAATTACAATACTCTAATTATAGTATAGGGGCCTACTAAATATTTTTAAAAATAAAATTAGAATACTTTAATTACAGTATACTAAATATTTATAAAATAAATAAGAAATAAATAAATGAACAAATTACAATTAAATTAGCTCTTACCCTATAGGCCAGTTTGTAAGGACACTTTTTACCAAAGCCTACAGGAGGCTCCATGTTTCTTAACATTTCATACATATCTGTGTAATGGATTCTTCCCCTGTACAAAGTCAAAACAGTTTTGATTTTGTTTTTTAATTAAAAATTAGCAAACCAGAAATTCTTGATAAACAAAATGTGTGTGTTTGTTAGGGGTAGAGGCATTGTGTGCGTGTATTTTAAAAAAAAAGACATATTAATACAACTGCTATACTTAACTAAATGTAACAAAGTAACACATTTAAATATTTAAACTTATTTATAATTTTAAAAAAATTACTATGCAATCAATATATTTTGATTTCTATTGAACTTTATCAATACAAATAAAAAAAGATTAAGAAGCCACTGATACATGTTTGATTAGACCTTACCATACTAAATAAAAACATAATTCAATCAATAAAATAGAATATAATTTTTTTTACCATTTGCCTTATTGAATTTTAACAACTTACGAAGCTTTGGGGTCATACAATGACCAGACCCTAACATATTCATCCAAATGATGAGGGCCTAAAATGGATGAGTCTCTTGTCAAATAGTCAAAGTTGTCCATAATTACAGCAACAAAGAGGTTGAGCATCTGAAAGAGCAGAATTATTCATTACCAGTTGATGCATATTTAAGAGTTACTTTATTGCAAGCGATACTATTTCATTATAAATATGTGATTCAAATACAATAAAAGTACTGCATTATTAACTAGTTGAGCTTAAAAAGGAAATACTTTTCAATGTCATCTCAATGTTGATTTATTTTTATATATATATATTTTTTAGAAAAAGCTTTATGTTTAAAAAAATTAATTCTTAAAGTTTCCAAACAAACAAAACTAACTTTAAACATCAAGTAAGTTTAAAGTAAAACTTACCAAAAATGAGCACAAGAATATAAATGAAACAAAGTACATATAGGCAATATTGGTGCCACATCCCGACTCAGCCTGATCCGGAGGGTCTTCAGGTCCTATAGATTCTGGATCACATGGCTGATTAGCCAGACAGGACTGCATGATCTGTTGCCATGCTTCTCCTGTTGCACATCTGTTGGAAAATTACAGAGGTTAAAGTTCAGTCTACAAACACATGGTCTATTCCCTTTGACTATTTTTTTTTATTGCTCAGAACATTTAATTGAGGATAAAGCAAATTATTAAGGATTATTTATCACCCTGAGCCAAGAGTAAAGCAAGATACCAGATATCGACAGCATACTACTAATAGAACTTGAATAATTATAATTATAATTCAACACCAGAAAGTTTTAACACAAAAAAGAGAAAGAAAAACCTACATTTTTAAGAAACAATTTTATTTCAATTTTTAAAACTTTATCTGTGATAGACTGTTTTTTTTTTAAATTTCTAAGTTATTTAAAAAATAAAATGAGCTGCATTAAAGATTTATTCAAATTAATAAAAAAAACCATTCTAATAACATGTTCTATATAATTATGCTCCAAAAAAAATGAAATAAATGATTTTTTTTATATTTATATGTATAATAATGTACACTTACTTAAAAAAACTAAACAAACTAAAAGCTTATAACTCCAGAACAGTGTTCTTAAATTAAAAGCAATCATCAAAACACCTAAGAAACAATCACTAATTAAAATTAAATTTATAGTTAACCTGCCAACAAATTTTATTTCAGAAAGAGATATAAAAAGAAAGTAAGAATTGATGGGAGACAACTTGTAAAAACACAACAAGACAAAGGAACAGAAGAAATTCTATGAATACATAAATAATTTTTATTTTTTAAAGTTTTCATGAACCAAACAATTTATGTTCTCACCTGAATAGCAATATTAATGCAGAAAAAAATGAACGGAAATTGTTGTGCCGATTGATGGATGTTTTGGAGTCCAGCTTAATACTTCCAAACACCTGGGATAAATCAATTTTTTGGAGTACAGTGATACATTATTACTCTACAAGTCTTCTATGCAAACAACATTGTATAAATTATAATAAAAGAACTCTAGCTCACTGCTAGAAGTGACTTACTTGCATTCCAATAATGGCATAGATAAAAAACAGCATGAGAATAAGAAGACATACATAAGGCAAGGCCTGGAAAAGAAGGAAAATATATTTTAAAATGATTTTAAAAGAAACACAATTTTACAAAGATTTTATACTAGCACAACCCATTCCCCTCATACAAAAAAAAAAGTCGGGTCATGAGTTTTATATGATAGTTCTCTAAAAAGACAAAATTTTATCTTAAAACATTAAAAGTTGGGATTTTCATGAAAAAAATTGTAACTGACAAATTTTCTTAAAACATTAAATTTAGGAATTTTCATGAAACAAATTTTAACAACTGACAAATTTTATCTTAAAACATTAAATATAGGGATTATCAGGAAACAAATTTTAATAACCGGTAAACTTTCATTAGATGAAAGATATTTTCATGGCCAACTTGGTTAAACAATCAATAACTTCATTAAGTAAATGGAGATTTGATACTGGTCTCACTGTGTGTGACAGTAAGGATTATGGAAAGGGTTAGGGCCAGGGTTATTCTAGCAATACCAGTAATAATATAGCCTGTTAATATCTTGACAACATTTTGACAAACACTGCAGAGACATTTCAATGAGGTAACAGAAAAAGATACAAAACACTTTGAACAAAATGACTTGCCTTGAATGACTGGAAGAATGTCCACAGCAGTAATCTGATTGTATACCCCTGACGAAGTAGTTTTACTAATCTAGCTGCCCTAAACAGTCGGAAAACTCCAAAACTGTACGGGCTTTTCTGTTGTTGATTATAAAGTATATTACACATTAATAATTCTAAAAAACATATTTGAAGTAAATATATTATAGATATTATATAACAAAGTAAAGGCCTTTCTGTACAGGTGGTAAGTAACAAAATGAAACATTTTTTTTTAAAAAGTAAACATTTGACATGAAATATTTAAACAAATACATTTTAAGTGAAAATATAACATATTAATTACAAAACTTTTTAAAAAGGAACGTTTTAAACATGCTATTTAAAAAAAATATACTTATTTGAATTAAAATTGTCTAAACAAAAAATAAAGTGACAGAACAGGCAGTATAATCCATATTAAATGAAATAAACTGGAATTTAGAAGATATACTTACAATGAATTCAGTGATGAACACATCTATAATGCTACCGACAACTGTAGTAAAGTCAAACACATTCCATGGGTCGTAAAAGTAATTCTGTGTCCAAATAATATAAAAAATAGTCAAAACCATATTAAATAAAAGAGCACAAGAATTTAAATGAAACAAAGTTACTTTGTTCAATTAATGTAAAAAGATTTATAATTATTAAAAATTATCATCACTAAAGTAATTTTTTTAAAATGTAAATTAATAAAATGTTTTTGAAATGAATTAATCTAGATTTATATAGAATTATTAAAAACTAATGATTTCAGATAAAAAATTGTATAATTATTTTGTATAAATATGAAAATTACTAAAAAGAGAAGCAAATAGAGCAACAGTTCAAAAGGAATTTAGATTACTTATGTTTACGATTTTCAAGACATAAAAATTCAGCATGCCAAAATGTTAGGTGAAAATATTGAGAAAAAGTTAATTTTATATTTTCAGTATGTTTTGTAGGCCATATATAGAATAAAGACTAAATAAGTATTCTTTATAAAACAAGGAATTTAAATGTAAGCCTTTTCCCACTGAATGTTTTTTTATCATAATAAATTGAAACTGTTTCTTATTTTTAAAGTTTTGACTAGTGCCAAAGTTTAAAAAGTTTTATTGAAAATAGATTGAACATTGTCTTACTTTATTTACCCTACGTATAGAAATAGTTTTGTAAACTATAATAATATTAGCCTAGACACATTTAGGTATTATTTAATAGTTTATAGCACACCAATCTTGTGAAATAAAAAGATTTAAAAAAAAAAGTTTTTGGGCAGTGCGTGCAGTAATGTACTACAAAAACAATTTCACCACAATTTTAGTAATAACAATAAGGATTTTTGAATATTTTTTATTTAAATAACCCAAAACAACTGATTAATTATTTTGAAATTTATATTTTAATTGATATTATGGTATAAAAACTGGTAAGAATAAATAAATAACTATTCTGAAACTAAAATAAGTGTTTAAATTTGTTAAAATGTGATGAATTTGATTAAGTAGAGAGAGACATTGAAAGAGTAACAAAACTTAAAGATACATCACAATCATAGCTTGTTTTTTTCAACTGATTTACCATGTACAGTTCACCTATTTTAAGTTTTTTCACATATATATTGTATCTATTCTTTTTTTTACAGCAGTAAAAGATAATTGGGCTTATTTAGAAAAATGATCAAAGCTATTTAATTTTATAACTAAAATAAAGAAGTAAAACTAGAGAAAAATAAAGTTCAATTAGTATATTTATTCTTAATTTACTGGAAATTTTATTATCAGTTAATTAAATAATTTTTTAAAAATTTGAACGTTTCCTTTCAATTTTTTTACAAGAAATGAACAACAATTTTTTAGCAGGCAAACAATTTATAAGTATGACTGCAAGACAGGAAAAACAAAGTAATATTTTTTTTCTCCAACAAGACAAGAACTTCTACCTTTAAATAAAGAAATTGTACTACATACTAGAATACCACACAGTAGACTCAATCTTCAGTGTGGTTACTAAACGCAGATTTAAGAACTTTTTTTTGGGTAAATCAAACAAAATACATATAACAAAATAAAATAATAATCCAAGTAGACAACACATACTAGCAGTTTCAAGTTGGAGATTTCAAAACAAAAACACATTTTGATGAACGGCATCATCAAGAAAGACAATGAAAGCATGGCAATGAAGCCATCCCCCTAAAGCCAACCAGCTTGCCGTTAGTCGTAGTATAGCAGTAGTTGAGGTTGTTGCTTTTAAGGTTGAGTTTTAAAAACAAATTTCACCCAACTTTTCAAACAACAGAGTGGTAAATTGAACAGGAGGTTTGGGTGAGCTAAATGACTTTTAGGGCGGATGGTTGTTGACTAATACAGCCCGAACCTTTCCGTAAGCACTGAATTTGAGTAGGAACTCTAGTGTATACAAACAAGTGAAGGTGACATTTATCATTTGAAGTAAAGCACCAGTTTGTGCGTCTGCAGCATCGTACTGAAATTTGAGGAAATCATCAAGATCATAAAAGCTATTGCTGACATTTTTTTTTGTTGCTGACTTTTTTCTCCCGTGTTCCTCCCCTTTTTTGCACACAGCTTCAGCTAAAGCTGTCATAAATTTGAACAAAAGATTTAAAAAGGAAATAAATAAACCAAATGAAAATGATTGGTACAGGTTTTTCCATTCACATTTCATAACATGGTGAATTGAAAACAATTTTAATAACTCTCATGGTAATATGTATATTACCTCAATTATGTAGGAGAGTTAAATAACAATAGACTAGAGTCAGAATGGAAGATACATTAAAGTGAATGTTAAGTTCATAGACAAAGCAAATGTTCAAGTAGCACACATAGATGTATCTCAAATTTTTAGGTGTCATGTGTAGGGAAATAACACATACAAACACAACATATTGAAGGGATACAATCAAAGCAAAGTGGATACAACTCTACAGCAGGATAATTTAGTTTGAAATATTAGGTGCATCATTAATAATCACATTAATGCATGGAGTTTAATAGTAAGACATATTTAATAAAAATATTTTAAAAAGTAAGCGATGCCTAAACATGGGTGAAATAAAAATGTAATTCTGAAAATGCACTACATAGCAGTGATAATTTTAAATAAAGGTTTTTTTGAAAGGCAATAAAATGGTTTTTAGTGTAATTATGACATTTTTGTTGGAGAATTTAATTAAAAAGAATTAAGTATTTTTTTTAAATTTGGAAAGCCATTCAATAAAAAATGAAATTTTCAAACCATTGTATTAACCTTTAATATTAGAAATGAAACCGTAATGCAACCAATTCCTGAGACTCACAAAAAACATGTGAAAGCAGATCATTTTTTATTGAATTTAAAAAAAAAATGTATGGCCAAATATTTTTAACTTCCACATCATTTTCACATGCCATTTGCTCATCATCTACAAAAAAATGTATAAAATGTGCTCTCCAAAGAAATAAGGAGCAAAAATAATTATGGCATGCATAGTAGAAGGAGTAAGTTATTTCCCTTTTCCTCAAAAAGAGTTCTTACCCTTGGCCCAAGGCCAATAATCTTGAGAATACACTCAAGACTGAAAAAAGCAGTGAACCCCTCATTTAGCCTTTTAAGAACGCATTTATATAGTTCCGACTGACCTTCATACTGTTGAGGAGTGGTATCAGGCATAATACAAAATGTATTAAAATTTTGATCATGATGATTATAATTATATAAAATAAGAAATAGATGAAGTCAGGGATACATGAAATAATGAAAACAATAGAATTACTGAAGACTGTATACGCTCTCTCCATACTCCCCCTCCCATCTAAAATCATATTCAAACTCTATAATCATTGCTAACTAAGCCTTCATTCTGAAAACAATATGAGATTAAAACACTAAATAAAAAAACAACATTGAAATATGGGTAGAGACAGGGATGGGAGGGGGCAGTGAAAAGGGGCATCAACAGTTGAGACACAAGGAGCATACAACTCTCTAGTTAATAACATTTAAATAAAGAGTGCATGAACACAACACTGCATGTTATCAGAATAAACTGGGAAAATACATAATATACTTGTGTTTGTGCATGTTTTTTTGACATTTAAGTAGGGTAGTCATATTATGAACAAGTGAAGGTATTTAAACAGTTTTTTCATTAAAACGACTAGAAGTAGTACTTATTCTCATAATATTGTTTGCTCCAGAAATATAAATCTGACTGCAAAACGTCTGCAATCCGGATCTAAATTCCAGCTTAACGTTGAATTAAGTGCAAATATTTTAAGTAAGAATTCTTGTATTAAAATTAGTAATAATAATGGTGTCGTAAAGTAGCATTGTATAATTGAATTATTAATTTTAAATTTAGCTTGTATAATAGATTGACGACAGAAGCCTGTGGTTGTATATAACACATTTAATGGGTCTAACTACCACGATGGTAATACACAGAGAGGACGGAAGGAAGTACACAAGGGACATCACTCAAGATAACAATATTATAAATATAACTAATACAGAAGAGTGAGTTCCCTTGACCTCACAATTATTTCAATCTATTACATCCCTTTACCCTTAGAACACAATAACACATCTCTCAATAGAACAATTGATAGTATCCTAAAATCACCAATTATATTGTAACATGAACATTATGGTAGATTACATCCTTACAAACAATGCACAATATGCCACAACATAATCAAGATACAAAACAATGATGTCAACGTCCTTTTGACCTTTAAAATCATAGGTCTAACTTATTTGGGACCTTGATTGTCCTGCTTGACCTTCTCAGTGGCTTTTGATTTGGTGACTCAATATTCTGACCATCTGGATTCTCTATCTCAGGAGGTCTAGGATTTAAATCATTAACTCCAGAATTTACATTTTCTGACTCCAGACAACTTGGTTCACTCATATCAACAGAACTTGGTTGTGAAACAAACTGAGTTGGTGTGAACTGTTCAGATTTGGTGGGATTGATAGATTCACACTTATTATCTGCACAAGTTATTTTTAACTTCATAAGACACAGGTCCTGTACATTGAACAATTTGACCTGGTATCCATTTTTCCTTTCTCCCATAATTTCTTAGATACACATTCTTATTAACACCAAATTCTCTTTCAATGCATGTGTTGTCATGATTTAATGGAACTATTTTTGAATTGGCATCTGAAAGTATTATGCTGTTATTCAGATCCTTGACTGACATAGATTTCTTTGATTGATCAATTTTCTCAGGTAATCTGATAGTGCTTTCCTGGTAACCAAAAATACTGTTTAAAGTAATATTCTGGACCATATCACTTTGCAACTGTGATCCAGTATTTGAAGTGGGTGTATTAAATGGCAAAAATCTTTTTCTTTTCTTTTGATGTTACCCTTTTAGTTTCTGTAAGTGCTAATGATGTTAGCAAAGTTGTTTGATGATCACATTCCTTCTTACTAATGTATTCTCTTTAAAACATTTGAAATTGCCATATCACCATAATCATTTATCAAGTTACAAATACTTTGTTTAGGCAACTCTGATAATAATGGACTGCATCTTCTCCATCTTTTATATTATCTTCACAAAGGGTGTTAATTTCTTATTTTATATGGCCTTAAGTCATCCTTCACAGACTCTTCAGGCCAACCATTCATACAGTGCTCATATACTTTTATTAAGCACTCATCTTTTTGTGTTTCTCTTTTAATATCATTCACATTTATATTGGAGTTATCCATGATAGTGAAGAGAACAAATACATCTTCTGGTACATAGCTCAGGCTTTGGTTTTTTAAAGGTAATCTACTCAGACTATCTGCACTATTCTCAGATCCAGGTTTGTATTTCAATTCATAATTGTATGCAGTTAGTGTGATAGCCCATCTTTGAATTCCTGGTGAGGCATGCTCAGGTAGGGTTTTGTTTTCTCCAAATAAACCTAGCAATGGTTTATGATCTGTAAAGATGGTGAACTTCCTACCAAACAGAAACTTATGAAATTTCTTAACACCAAAAATGATGCCTAAGCCTTCCCTATCTAACTGAGAATAATTTTTCTCAGCCTGGTTCAAAGATCTACTGGCAAAAGCAATGGGTCTGTCACCCTTCTCATCCATGTGGGACAAGACTGCTCCTACACCAACTGGTGAAGCATCACATGTTAATACAAGTCTTTTCCCTGGGTCATAGTGAGTTAGTAAGGTGTCAGCAGACAAAGCCTCTTTTGCTGTATTAAAAGCAGCTTCTTGTTGTTTACCCCAGTGCCAAGTTGCATTTTTCTGTAGCAGCTTGTACAGTGGTGATAGTTTACCAGACAGATTTCCTATGAACTTTGCATAGTAATTTATTAAGCCCAAAAAAGCTCTTAGTTGTTGGGTATTTTCAGGTTTGGGTGCTTCTTTAATGGCTTTTGTTTTCTCAGGTTGAGGTCTGATGCCTTGTTTGCTCAATATATAACCAAGAAAACTAATTTCTGTCAACATGAATTGACATTTATCTTTGTTTATCTTTAAACCTTTTTCACCAACAATTTTCAAGACTTTATCTAGTGTTTTAAGATGTTCAGTGTCATTCTTACCAGTTATGTACACATTGTCAAAGTACACACAAACATTTGGAATATCCTTAAAAATACTGTCCATGACAGCTTGGAAAATTCCAGGGCTGGATGATATGCCAAAACATAGTCTTTCATATTGGTAGAGTCCTTTATGTGTGTTTATTGTCGTATAGACTTTTGAATCTGGATGCAGTTCTAGTTGAGTGTAAGCATGACTAAAGTCTAATTCAGTGAATTTGTCTCCTCCTGCCAAATTCAAAGAAATTTCCTCAATGTTAGGTATAGGGTACCTATTTAGCTCTATTTGCTTATTCAGTGTAGTTTTGTAGTCTCCACAAATTCTTATAGAACCATCCTTTTTTAACACTGGCACAATGGGTGACGCCCAATCGGAATAGTCTACCTTCTTTATAATGCCATTAGATTCCAATCTACTTAGCTCATTTTCAATTTTATTCCTCATTGCATAAGGTGGAACTCTAGCTTTGCAGTATCTTGGATTTGTGTCTTTAATGCTTAACTTCACTGTTCTATCATTTAGTAATCCATGATTACCAAAAACACATTTATTTTCAGATATTACTTTATCTAGTGAAGTAAGACTAGATTCTTTTACATTCTTCAATGAACAAATACTCTCCCAATTTAACTTAAGATCACTTAACCAGTTCTTACCTAGTAATGGCGGTCCATTTCCTTCAACCACAAGAAGAGGAAGTTTAACACTTTGACCATTATAACTTACATGAACCATACACTCTCCTATTACCGGAACATTGTCACCAGTGTATGTTGTTAGACACTTGTGACATGGCTGTAGAGGCACTGATCCTCCTATGACAGCGTCAAAATCTTTCTTTGTTATAACTGTTAGAGATGCTCCAGTGTCAAGTTGGAAGCTGATGCTCTTACCGTTGATATAAACTGGTACATTGATGGGAGCATGACTTATTGATTTCACAGAGAATAGGTTGAAATCCGGCTGCGAATCAGTTTGAGCATTTTCACTGGTAGAGTGGTTCATTGGTTGGGTTAGGTAGTCTTGGTGAGAGTTAACATAGTGCTGCCTTTGGTTGCGGTACTGTCTTGACTGGCTAGATTTAGCAACAGACGAAGACTTTGCAAAGCAGGCCTTGGCAATGTGACCTTGCTCACTGCACTTATAACAAGTTGCAGACTTGAACTTGCACCGATGAGATGCATGGGGACCTTTGCATCGATGACATTTTTGATAATTATTACTAGATTTAGATCTAGGATTTGAACGAGCAGGCTGTTTAGCATAAGTTGGAATGCTCTGATGGGGTTGATGTTTATTGACTAACCTGCTGTTTACTGCATGGATCTCTGAAGGTGCTAAAGATCTCGCCGCATCTGATGACTGCTGGAATGACATTGCAAGTTGTATTGCTTTTTCCAATTTTAGATCTGACTCGAGCAGCAACTTTCTTTGAATATCAGGGCTGTTTATACCTGTCACAAACTTTTCACATAATCTGTCAGACAGCGTGTCTCCGAATTCACAAAATCTACTTAAATGACGTAAAGCAGCAACATATTCTGTTATTGACTCGTTTGGTTGACGAGTCCTACCGTCAAATCTAGCTCGACATAGAAACTTTGATGGTACAGGCGCATGGTGGTCTGTTAGCAATTTGCTCAGCTCGTTAAAGCTCTTGGTAATTAGACTAGCTGGTGCGCATAAGTCTTTTAGTAGCCTAAATTGTTGAGGCCCTATGACTGTTAACAAAACAGCTCTCTTTTTGGCTTCTATCGTCACGTCGTTAGCTTCTAGGTAAAAGCTTAACCTCTCTAGGTAATCTTGAATGATTTCATCATTCGCATCAAATTGATTTATTTGGCCATACAGCGCCATAATTCTAGAAATAATTAGCTAATAAGCTCTAGCAAACCTCTTTTTTGCGTAAGTAGGTGCTCTTTCTAGTAGATGTTTATCCTTCGTCGCCAGTTATAATAGATTGACGACAGAAGCCTGTGGTTGTATATAACACATTTAATGGGTCTAACTACCACGATGGTAATACACAGAGAGGACGGAAGGAAGTACACAAGGGACATCACTCAAGATAACAATATTATAAATATAACTAATACAGAAGAGTGAGTTCCCTTGACCTCACAATTATTTCAATCTATTACAGCTTGGTGTTTTTAAACTATTTGGAATTTATCTTACTCATTGGTACTAGCACTAAAAGTTATTGGCATGAGCAGAAGCATTGGTACAAATATTTTAAAAACTAATTAAACATAGCTAGTTGGTTTTAGCGGTGGTTATAATTTATGCATTAAAAGAGAATTATTTATACATTTTTCTTGTTTTCCACCCCCAAATTGGGTGGTTAGTATTTGAACAAAGTGAGTTGGTCCTAAATATGGTAAATGAATATTATTAAAATATCTAATATTACAGGCAACTTAATTGAACAGTATATATTTTTAATCAAGTAATACTTTACCATCAATTTAAGCAGTAGTTGCTTTCGTTATTATAGTTGTGCTTGTGCAATAAAGTCTTTACCAAAACTAATTTAGTACTCTTTATTTTTCAAATAGCCATACAATTAACAAGTGTTCTACTCAGGATGTGTTAAAAGTTACTATTATTTACAGTTTATTTTTCTACTTTTTTTAGGGTAAATTCAAATTATTTTATCAACACGAAGAATCTTAGTTGATTTTTCATGTTTTTAAAAAAAAATTAATTGTTCATAGATTTATTTGAAAATATAACAGTTGTTGAAAGTAAATTTTAAACTATATTTTTAATACAATTATCAACTATTATCTAAATTCTGCTATTAGTCAAAAATGTATATAATAGTTTTATAAGTTAATTCTTTTTACAGGCCATGAAGATGCAATTGATGCTGCATTGTGTTCGATTAAGCTAATATAAAATAAGTTTGAACAAAAAGCTATTTAAAATGTATCAATTAGTAACTCAAATAATATAACTTAAGAAGTTTTAAACTGAAGAAAATGGAAAAGTTATTTGTTAATATTGCTGCAAAATTATTTTTTGAAATATATTTTTTTTCTTTAAATTGCTTTGCTAACATAATATAGCATCAATTGTTATGTAATAATAACAAATTAAAAAGGGATTTTCAGTAGAGAGCAGTTTCAAAACCAATGTTAAAAAAACTAAACTAAACAACACAAAATTTAAATGTATTCTTCTTAAAATGTTTCATTTTCTTTTAAAAGAAAAACATTTGGTTATAAATATTGATATATGTTGAACTAATTTTATTGAAAGAAATAAACATAATCAAGAATAATTAAAAATATTTTTTAAAAATAAACAATTTTTTATATACAATAAACTCTTTTACAGCTTTGATCAGAAAGATCAGCAGACAAGCTTATTTTAAAAACAACAAACTAACACCCCTTACCCTTCTATAAAATAGTTTTAAAAAAAATAACTACACTCTGCTGCACCTACTCTACTAAGCTAGGTGGGGCAACAAATACTCTGCAATTTAAAAAGGCTAAACATTAATTTGTAGTTCTCAAGTCTGTTACATCTATACATTAATGTAAATTAATTACATATATGCTATATAATTATATATTTTCTAAAAAGAATGTTTGCCCTAGACAAAGATGAGTCCAGGGTATTGAGTAAAATATACCTTTAAACAATGTCTCAATTCACCTATTGTTTTACCCCTAAAAACTACCTACAAACACATGAGACTGATTGAGAACTACCACTTCACTTATTTTAACAATTATTTCATTAATTAGGGAAACTACACTGAAATAGTTGAATGAAATGTGCAGGGGACAACAAAAATATCAAGCAATCAGTGACATCATCAACCTGCTGACATAGAAATAAAACAAAATAATCTCCCCTTATCTTGTGCACAAATACTAAAGAGTGTCAGAAATCCTTTAATTTTTGTATTTACTATTCACAATGTGTTTTGTTAACAAATATTAATTATAATTTAAATTTTCATTAGCCTTTTTGCATGTCACTTATACTAATTAGGAAACTCAGCATGAAACATCTATGGAGAAAACATTATTAAATATTTTAAAGCTTTTATGCACAATTTTAAATACACTTTTCTCAGTATTTGGTCTAGGAAACAACAATACATTGCTTTAACATGGGAGGGGTAGGAATAGAAATAACCATAAAAAGTAATAAAGAAATTCTAAGACATTTGTAAAACAAATTTCCACTCCGCATATTCTATTTATAAATTGTATTAATGACAAATTATTTTTTTCATGTAAACATAAAAATAAACAATGGCTTAAAAAATAATTTAAAGTTTTCATAGTGTATGGTTTAATTGGATTTTGTAAATTTCTTTGAAGTATCAGCTTTTACAATATTAATTTAGGAAAATATTTAAAAATTAGACATAACCTATTTAAACGTAATTGATTTTTACCCCAATAATCTTAGAATCAAGTAATTCACACCAAATACCACCACAAATATATTTTTCCTCATTAATATTTGGATTGAAATCAATAAAAACAATAGAATACTTAATTTCAAGGAAGATATATGAGCGTAGATATTTTTAAACCCTCACTCTTTCAATTATGAAATTGTTATTATTAATCTTTTTAAACATATCTTTGAAAATATTCACGACGATTTGAAGTAATAAATGTTTAAAATAAAAACATGTTATTGTTAAGTGTAAAAAAAAATCTGGTCAGGAAAATACTGAAAGCAATTTTAGATTTAGCTTCTCCCTAAGTTCTTTAGACATTTGAGAGAAAAACAATGCAAATTTTTATATACCTGAAAATTATCAGTTAAACAAAAAAATAAAAGAAATAAAAACTGTAAACTTAAAAGTATATTACTTTTTAAAAATTAAATTAATGTAACTAAGACATGCCAATGTAATGTGTGTAATATGTTACATCAACACTGTGTTACTGAACAGGTTGAACAGTTCATGCAATGCACACACAAAATGTGTAATTTTTTCCCCAGCCATGAAATGTTAACATTTGCCACAGCATTCATACTAAAAATGATAATTTTTTTTATAATGCACGAAATAGATGATCAGAGTTAAGTAGTTAAAATTTGTTTTTAATTTTCAAATAAATACAATTTTCATAAATAGTGTTCATGATGAAAGAACCATGATGTAAAGCTAAATTAAGTATGGGAGTTATGGACACCACAAACTGATATTCTTATTAGATAATTTGTGAAAATATAAATGAATGCACCATAGTAAAACATTGAAACTATACAAGTTTCAATTAAAAGTTTTGTAATGAATTCGTATCTTTATTCTAGTGAGTCTAAGTATAAAAAATTAAGGCCTATTTAATTGATTTATAATTAATAAAAGAATTTTTTTCTTACCTTCATCATCAAGACAATAGTGTTTAGTGCAATAAGAATCATTATAAAATATTCAAATTTTGAAGACTGAACCATCTGCCAAATTTTGTACTTGATGGAGTTTTTGTTTTTTGGGATGAAGCGGCAATGTGGTTTGGCATTGATTGCGAATTCTATGCACTGTTTCTGTAGGAATAAAAGATAGATAATTTATTTAAAAATTCATACTTTTTTTACACTATACACTGTTTCTGAAGGGATAAAAAGTTGACAATTTATTTAAAAATTCATTAATGTTTTACATTATGTGCGGTTTCTATAGGAGTAAAAAGTTTATTTTAAAATTTATTGATTGAGAATTCTATACACAGTTTCTGTAAGATTAAAAGAATCATTGTTACATTGATTGCAGATTCTATGCACTGTTTCTGTAGGAATCAAAAGTTGATAATTTATTTAAAAATTCATAAATTTTTTACATTATGTAATGTTTCTGAAGGAGTAAAAAGTGGATTAATTATTAAAAAATTCATTGATAATTCTATACACAATTTTTTGCTTCTGTAAGTTTAATAATAATCATTGTTACATTTATTGCACTGTTTCTGTAGGCAAGAAGTTGATTATTAGAAAATTAATCTAATTTACATTGACTACTAATTCTATGCACTTTTTTAATAGAAGCAAAAAGGTGTTAATTTATTAATAAAAGAATCAGTTTTACATTATAAATTTATATAAAAGTAAGTAAGATAAGTAAGTAGATAACAAAAAAAATATATACCTGATTTTTATCCATCTCCTGATCAATAAGTTCATTTTCACCTTGCTCTTGGAAAGTAATGATGATAAGAGCAACAAAGATGTTGACAAAGAAGAAAGGGAAGACAATGAAGAAGACAACATAGAAAAGTGACATTTCCATTCTGTAAACTGGCTTAGGTCCCCTGTCTTCATAGGTTGAGTCCATTGAATGCTTTAAAACACTGGAAATTTATTCCAATAAAAAATTTATTAGAATCATCTTTAAACACAAGATCTGATATAATCATAAAACACAAGGTTGAATAATTTTCAAAAAAGAAAGTTATTTTGAATAATTAATAGGGGATACACTTTTTTGCTGAAACAGGATTTGAGCTTGAGGCTGTTGGGTTAGCAGTCTAGCGCTCCCTTCCCCAACCATCATAAAATGTTAGACCTTCCCCCACATCTAAAATAATCAAACGCTCTAGCTTCCCCTAATTTCTTTCCATATAGTTTCCTTTTCTCAAAGGGATACAACTAAGATTTGTTAATTTTGCTGAAAATTTAATTATTTCCATTTCAAGGAAAAAACAAAAGAAAACTTTTAACTTTTTGCTATTTCACATCACACAAAACTAGCAAATTTAATATTTTAAGAAACAATTTCATATTTCAACCCATGGTAGTGAAAAAGCATAACTATGTAATAAATGTTTTAGAATCCCTGAGATTATGCAAACAAAAAAAAAAGATTAAAAAAAAACATTTTCTCTTGTAATGAAGTGGATGAAATGTTAATGATATAACTGATTTAGAAATTCAATGAACACATCTTACAAGTCGGTGTTGCTCTATATTTAAATTATTGTTCTTTCACACAAAAATAGCAATTAAAATATTCCAAATAAAAATTATATAATGGTTGGAGGTTGAAACTACCTAGGCCATCCCTCTCCTGTCGTCACAGTGAATAAGGTGAGCATAGCCATCATTATGTTGTCATAGTGAAAATCTTGACGCAGCCACTCCCTATCTTTTACAGTTGGTTCATTGGAGTTGCCATCATACTCAAAAAACTGGCCCCTGTGAAGCAGATGAAAATATTTTTAGTCTAGTAGGGTTAATAGAATAATTTTAAAATCTAGCTGCAGATTATCACAACGAAAAACAAATTTTTAAAATTGGTAATTTTTAAAGAATTTTTATTAATGAATCACTGTTTGTTTGGCTCTGCATTTCTTTTTCTTCAGTCTGTTTGTTTTATTGGGGAATAATATTTTAGAGTAAAAATCTGTCCCAGAATTAAACAGTAAATATAAATTAAATAAAAAAAAACCTATATTAAATTTTTTTTATATAAAGTATATACAATAAAAATCAGCAGAAAAAAACTTAAAATCAACTTTACTTACTGACACTCATCGCGTGTGGACTTTGATTCATCAGTACAGTAGAAAAACCTGCCCTTAAACAGCTGAACAGCAATGACAGCAAAGATGAACTGGAAGAGGATGTACACTATAAGAATGTTGGAGACATTCTTCAAGGAGTTCACCACGCAGTCAAACACAGCCTGAAAGAAAACATAAAGATATGTTTTCAAATCTTAAAGCAATGTTGTGGAATCTGAAGGATGGATAATGAAGCATAAATAAAGTTCTATTTTGTTGAGCAGTAGTTATAAGTCTGGTTAGGGAAACAGGGGATTGTATACTTAATGTATGCTAGACTGGTACTGAGAAAAATCCAAGTTTTTAATTAGCCAAAATTTGAACAAATGACTTCATGTAAATACTGATAAATACAAGCACCTTCTATATAATTTTAATCAGCTTTTAAAACAAACAAAAATATCTAATCAAATGGCATTTAGATAAATAAAACAATATGTAAAGTACTCTTTTGAAAGAACTTTGTGGCCCATGGGTCAGGTAAAGTTCAACTGTTACTGTGACACTTCGGCATATGAAGGGATAGTGTGGTCAGAACTATGCCCAGCCTCTTTTACTATCTTCAAGTAAGTCAGGTAATGATCAGAGCTGGGTTGACATGAGCAGGGATCCGAACTCCAGGCTTTTAGGTGAGCAGTCGAATGCTCTACCATGCCATCCATTAATGATGAATATTACTTTTGAAACAAGACCAACATGAAGCTCGAAATATATTTACAGACCTTCAGCTTGGGTACCCTGTTGATTGTTTTTAATGGTCTCAGTACTCTCAACACTCGCAAGGATTTTATTGTATTCAGATTTTTACCAGCACTGTCACTGAAATGTAATAAAAAGAATTATGACTTCAATGTCATTAGGAGCCAAGCTTTAAAATCCTTCTAAAATAAAGTAATAGCGGTGTGAAAATAAGAGGAATAAATGAAATCTATGATGAAGTTTCGCTTGATCTAACAAAAGGAAGGATAATAGTTTGTACATAAATACAATGATACTTCACTTAAATTTAGTGATGGTTTGTTTTTTCTTGCATTCAAACTTCAAAGTAAAAACCATTGCAAAATTTAATAATTTTGCATGTGTACCATCTAAATAATATAATTTTTTGTGGCGATTTCATTACAGTATATTTCTGAAGTAACTATGGTCAATTGTTGAAATAAAGTATAGCTGTTTAAAATGTTTAACCAAATTCTTGCTCATATGCATGACCGCCCTTAATAACAGAAGAATACATTTTCTGTTGTTTAGAATTATAATTGCCAGCATATCAGGAATGCTCTTTAAAATTCTGATTCAAAAACATTTTCCTTACTTAAGATAACACTAAAACTTGTATTTAATTTGAGTACCAAATAGATTAATTAGGAAGTCACCTTAAAATAAGTGCCTCTTTTTATATTTGAATTGTAGTCATTAATCTTAAATATGTAATGTTTTTAAAGTAAGTATGTGGGATTATAAAAGTTCACACTATATAATTGTTCTGTTGTACATAAAACTAAATTTGATCTAGTATCAATCAATAACACATGCCTCTATACAGTCTATTGTCTCAAAGAGTAAATTTATCTGGTATATTTTAAAACAATGAATCTTGTGTTTAAATCATGGAAATGGCATATACAAATAGATGAACTTGGTATATTAAACCACTGATCTTTTATGTTAAGCTATGTCCTTTAGGTAAAACCACATATCCGGCGTTAGATTAAATTGTAAGTGTGATATTTGGGGGATGGCCAAACATGCCCATACATACATACACACATACATACATATAAATTGGTGATACCATTTGCCACATGGGGTGTTTTGACTGGGTTGGTTAAAAAAAATGGGTTTTCACAAAATGTTCTTTCCATGCAGTAAATTCTGTTTAAAAGTGATATTTGCCTATTATGTCTAAAGTGTTACATGCAAATACATTTCTAAACTCCACCCACACAATATTTGTAGGTTTATGAAAATTTAATGAAGATTAAAAAAGGTTAATGAAGATTTTAAAAAATTTCAGCTTGATCGAATTGACTCTTCATCTATATAAATTAACTTAAAATATAAGTTACACAAGATTACTTAACCATATTCCATAAAAACTTAATTTTTTTCTAATAAATTTGAGCAGTTACATGTAGAACACATAGACCTACATTTAAAAAAAAAAATTGTAACTATGGTCATTTAAAAATATTTTCTACTATGTTTGAAATAATTAAACAACCTCATAATATGTATTTGAGGAGAACCATCTGTTAGGTTTATTTAGTGAATAAAGTATACAAATAATAGCTATTATAAAAATGTTTTTATATTAAATTTATTTTTGTTGATAAAGTATCTGTAGTTATTTTTTTAATTTTTGTTAGCATGTGGCAATTTAAAAACTAGCTTTTTTTTTATTGCAGCAAGCTGGCATTGTATTTTTTAATTTTGAAATCACTGAACTGAAGAACCTTTTGAAAACAAATTATAATCTTTGAAAAATGGGACAAGAAAGTTTTACCTAAGTAATAAAAACTTGTTTGTTTTATTAATTTGATTTTTCATACCAAGCTTTCAAGTAGTAAATGCTTAACATGAGTAGAGGTAGTAATTGTAATAAAAATATTGTCAAAGAAATTCTCACTAGGAATAGAACTCAACTTCATTGTACTTCTTGTTTTTCTAAACAGATATAACTGTTTCAATATCTTAACATTTAATTAACAAATCAATTATTTTGCAGCTCATTGACAATTTCAAGTTCAGAATATTTTTAAAGAAACCAAAAAAGATTAGTAATATATATAAATATATATATATAAGCCCATACAATTTTTATAACGCTCATTTACATTATTTATAACAACGAGTTTCAGTTAGGGTGGGTTTTTTTTCAATTTGCAGAAAACATGAAAATAAAATAATTTTCATCCCATTCTTCAAAATCTGTAACAAATAAAATGCCCCTAATTTCCATTTTTTTATTGGAAGCTTAAAACAAAATATAAAATCACAGAAAACATGTCCTCTACAAAGCATAAATAATTTTCCAACATTCTAAGACTAGTTAGACCATTGTGAAAGCAAACTGAGGGAACCCTGTGACACAAAATACTTAGGAGCTTATTAGTACAAGATTTTAAATGACAAATTTTAGATTTTGCAGAACTCGCATCTTAAAAAAATAACACAGGTTTTTTTTTAATTGATAAGTTGCAACTAAACTCTTCAAAACTATATTATTTCCCTGAAAAGTAAAAAAAAAATGAATAAAATATAAAAACAAATTAATATTACTTGACAATTGTAGGATAATTTTCATCGCCCAATTAACTGAGTTGTATTTAAGCCATTTCAACTTTTTGTTTTACTAACAAATACCATATTTTAATTATTTTCCATACCTCAGTAACTGAAAATATATATTACTAAAAGTTTCAAACTTAAAGCTAGATTGCATGAGCAGATCTAATTTACATATAAACTGTGGAATGCATACACTGTTACATATTTGAAGATATACCAAGGATGCATCTACCCATAAAATACGAAACAATGACAATGCTAGGACCATATGCACTATTAATGTGCTAAGAATAGAGTGACAACATTAATTGCAGACATTGCGCTACTGTTAGGGCTCATGTAATTATTTAATCTTCTTAAAAACGTATTGAATTTCACTTGTTAAAATATTTTTTAATACAATTTTCTAATCTGGACTAAACGTTTTGCAACATAGGAATTATAAACAGTATAATTCTGAGGACCTGCTTCATTGTCCTCAAACATTAATGCATCCAACGCCAAGCCTTAACTAATAAATAGTGTTTTAAAATCTTTTTAAAAGTGATTCGAATAAATGATTATTTTTCTTGATTCAATATGGGGGCAGTAACCTTGTGAGAAGATATCATGTTTTGTAATTTTTAAAAATTGTTAATTTCAATGTCTCAGGGAACCAGTTTTTATACAGAAAATACTTCTTTTTTTTAAACAAACCATCTTAAAAAATACACAGTTTAGTGACAGCTATTCTTAGGATGTCTTAAATGATTAAAAAGAATTGGCAAATTTAATATTCCATTTTTTCAAAAGACAGTCTTAGTGCATAACTCAAATACCCTCTAAATAAGACTAGTGTATAGATGAAAGACTCCAGGTGCTAAGAAAAAACTTTCTGCATATATCAGGATAAAAAGAAATTTTTCCTTTGATGCGATTGAAAAAGTCCACTCTCAAAAAGTTGAAAAAAAAAACCCTTTAGATTATGAATAATTATCAGCAAAGAAATTGTTTCTGGAACAAAACACAAATAAACTAAAAAATATTTTTTCTTTGTTATGGGGAACTGATCCGCAATGCTCCAAAATGTGTGTACATAATGCAATCAAAGTAAAAAACAGATAAAACTAAAAAACCACGCTTTAAAAAAACCTTTTAAAAATGTAACTGTGTGTAAAGTTATTTTAAAGAAAAAATAGTTTAAATCTCATTAATCTGATTTTTTATCATTTAAACAAATACACAAAGACATGTTATCTTATTACCTATTGTGTCAAACAAAAGAATAAACTATTTTAAATAAAAAAAAAACATGCTTTAACCAACATAAAAACTGTGTTTTTAATAAAAATACTCAGATAACCCTTTGAAATTTTATTAATGTCAAAAATAAATTACATACATTCATGCACATAGGAGATACTTTAAAAAATGATCAAGAAAATTTCAATTTTTTTTTCAATTTTTTTTCAGCCAGTTTGCTAAATACTGAGGAAGGAATGATATTCCATGAACTCTTAACTATGAAAAGCATAAACAGTCCACACAATGTTTTAAAATTATAAAACCATATCAGCAGCATGTTAGTAAATAAAATAATTTTTAATAAATAAAAGTCCATGTTATTTTAGGAAAGAAAATAAAAAAAAAATTTCAGAATTGCTTTTCAAGTTCAGAGTATGGAGATCATGTGAAACATGGGGGTACAAGGTATGATGCGGGCACCATCACTACTAGCCAGCGCATGTGTACTAAACGTTAATATTACTAAAGTCACAAACGCCATCCAGTATTATTGTCCATTCTGATGCCACTTACCTATTAAACGCACTGATAATTCAAAAAGTCAACAGAAAAATTGTTTTAAATCAAAAGATAGAAAGGTGAAAAAATAAAATTTAAGGAAAGAGTGATTAAAAAATGTTTTTAAGATCCTGATACAAATAATTATATTGCACCAGTTCTTTTAATTTATTTGCAAAAAAGAAAAGTTTTATAAAAAATAAACTATATTCTTTTAAAAGAAAGTATTTTTTAAAAAGTTTCTCCTTCTAAATTTTATTATTAGAGGAGTTTTGAAGCAATTTTTGAATCATTAGGCTGAAAGTGAGTAGATTATAAAAGAGAAAAGTAAAGTATGCATTATTTATTAAAAGTCAAAAGAATGATGTTACCCAACCCAGGTCTAAACTTATAACAAGCCAGAAAACAAAGAGTAACCAGGAACCAAACTACTTTAGCTGCCCACACGTCACCATAAAAAAAAATGCCCTCTTTATTTTATCTTACCTTTCATTGCTAAATTACAAAAAATATAAATTTAAATACTGATGTTTTATTTCACTTTTACAGGATGAAATATAATACAAAAGAGACCAGAATTTCTTACTTTTTGGCTTAAAATTTAAAGTTCATTCATAATTATACAAGCTATTATATTTTTTAAAAAGATAATTGCATTTGAATAAAGTTAAAAAGTAAATACCAAACAATAAGTTGATTATTTCAAAGGTAGTGTATTTTTTATCACAATTATGCCATGAACATCTAGTTTTTATGACGGTTTTAAAACATCAATACAAGAAATTCTTGTATTTATAAAAGATTATTTTAAAAGAAGACTGCGACTTCTTCATTTTGAAAAATAAGGCTTTAATCTCAGTAGTGATTATTTTAAAATTTGTTTATAAAGCCAGAAATAATATTTAATGGTAAAAGCTGTGATATGCATAATATACATCTTTAAGATACCCATACTTTAATTTTATAAACAAAAAATAAAAGAATAAAATATATATAAAATATATTTGAAATTTAAAAAAACTTACTTGAAAACAAAAGCTACAAGGGCACAAATAACAACAGTGGCATCCAGGATGTTCCAGAGATCTCGTATATATGAGCCAGGGTGGAGGAATATTCCTTGATCTACTATCTGTTAGAGAGATATAAATTTAAAACTAAAGTGATGTGATATATATATATATATATATATATATATATATATATATATATATATATATTATTGCGGGGAATACTCTCTTATTCCATCACCTCTCCTTGTTACACAACGTAAAAATGTTTAAAAACTCAAATGAATATTTTTAGATATTAGGAGTTTACTGATTTACTTACAGTAAAATGTTTTCAAAATAAATCTTAATTCAAAATTATTTTTAAAAAAATCCACAACAATTACAGATTTTAAACAAAATGAAATGAGGCAAATGAGATGGTTTATTTTGAATATCTTGCCTTCAAGAGTAACTCAATGGTAAATACACCAGTGAAGACAAAATCAAAGTAGTTGAGGATCTTGTTCCTGTAAGAGTTTTCTATGACAGGATCTTCTGCTGCCAGAGCTACAGAGCTGGCACATATGACTATCATGATGAACAGGTCAAAGTATCGCAGGTTTACCACAAAGTGGCAGAAACGTCGAACTCTGAAGGTAAAAAGATTTTATTTACACAGTTAATCAACATTTTATTGGATGGGATTTTATTTTTGTTCCCTCATAAACAGAACTCTCTGATAAAATGTGTTTGATTAAAGTTACTAATTTCTAAAAATAATAATAGAAAAGAATAATATCTAAGAAAAATAAAATAAAACTTCATTTGTTTGATAAACGAGGGCAGCACAATTACATAGATTTCAGTAACATATATAGATACTTTTAGGTAAGGTTAGATTTTATATCTGAACAGTATTAATAAGTTAGTTTTAGTAAGAAAAAATTGTTAATTTTGAGATAGGTTAAATGCAAGCCTTAACTCAGGGTAAAGTTTTCTTCAATTCTTATATAGAGTAACCAAGCAATGTAAAATATTATAACATTGTTATCCCAAATGTATGTAAGTCAATAAAGAGGTGATCAATGCAAGGTGCTTACGGATTGGTGGGGCCAAATATAAACATGGAGCTGTAAGGTAACATGGGTTTAGGCCCTTGGAATCCTGCGTTTTCATTCTGGCTGCTGGACCTTGGCTGCACATCAGCTGTACCACTGCTGGTTGTACTGGCTAAAAAATATGAAAAAAGGGGACACAAGTCAATGAATTATTTTAATTCATGTACAGGAGTTGAAGTCATGAGTGTATGATACCTAATCGTTTTTCCAGGCTGATGAAATTCTTGTGTAAGTTATTAAACCTGTTGAATGATCTCTTTCTTGTAACTAAATTGTGTGAGAAAATCTGCCTTGAATCAACTAAAATGGGATAATTACTAGAAACTTAAAGGATTTTTAAAATATGATGACAGCCTTTGACATTATAACAAAATTTTACAGGAGAGGTTAATTATATTATAAAACACAAATACAAAAATTATTTACAATATTTGTTGAGCTATGAAGATACAAGTGGGACAATCATTAAGATTATGAAGTAGACTAATAATAAAAAATAAAAATTACAGCATTAATAAAGAATACAGTTTTTAAATTCAAGTTTAATAAAATAAAATAGTATTTTGAAGTATTACTACTTATTATTACTGTGTAAATATTTAAAACTTGAAACTAAAATAAAAAAAAAACATTTTACAGATTTTTTTTTTTAAATTTATTTCTATAAAAGGAGAGGAGAGCAGGAAATGAAATTTTAAATCATTTTACAAATTAAGAAAAAGAAAATCAACATAGTAGAAAATAATTAAGGTGTTCTCCGACTCTAAAGTCTTTTGCTTCTTTTATTTCTTTAAAACAACTATTCAACTTTCAAGCTATAAAAGTTGCTGGTAAAAATAAGATGAAAATTTTGAACAGCTTTCAGAGCCTTGAAAATAAAAAATAATTTAGTAAGGCTTCTCCATATAAAAAATGGATAAATGTATATAAAAAAATTCTAGAACTTATACAAAGTTTCAAGGCATTATCAAAATTAAGAAATAAAAAAAATAAATTGAAGAAGAAAGAAATTTCTATTTTTAAAAATTTCTTATAAATTTTGGTCTAATAAAATAGTAATACTGAATGTAGACTAGCCTACATGAGGATAATTACCATAGGTCAAGTTAAAAAAAATCTTTATAGTTTGATGTATTTGAATAGATAAATATGCTATTTTTATTGGTCCAGTTTAACAATATACCCTAAAATATAATTAGGTTATCTATATAATGCTAAAATATTGATATAAAATCTAAATTTAAAAAAATGAGATGGATTTAAGGTATATTATATCTACACAAATAATAATCTTTTAAAATCTAAAAACACTAGATATAGGGAAAGTAAACTAGCATCCTCATTAATATGAAAACCATTACCAAAATTTATTTAAAGAAATAACCCACTGCTTATAAAAAAAATGCCAACCACCAAACAAAGTTTTCTTCAGTAACCAAATTCTACTTGATTTTTCACTACTTTTACTATGTACACCTTTAAATATATGGATCACTTTACAAAATTTGGATTGGAATAAAATATTCTGTCTATAAATACTGCCAACCACCAAATAAAAGTTTTCTAAGATACCCAAACCAGGAAACAAAATTGTGTTATCCAACTTTACTTTTTTCACCACTGAACATATTGATAGCTTTATAAAACCTGGCTTTAAAGTTGGACTTGACTGAAATACAAAGCAAAACTGGATCAGCAAATAAAAAGTATAAATAATAATGCATTCACTGTTTTTTTTTTTTCAAAATAATAAGTGGGCTGAATAAATCTTTATAAAAAAAGGATTTAAAAAATTTCAAAGTAAGGATAATCTTATGTTGAATTGTCCAAAGAGAAAAATAGTAACAAAAGGTTTTAAAAATAAATTATATAATGACTGAAAGAGAAATAGTTTTACAATTCAAAAAAAGGCTACACCTTTCTTCTAAATTGATGTGATGTTAAAAAAATGTATTTAAAATAAATAGTAGTAATTTATCTAGGATGGATTAAAAAAAAAATTATTCACATATAGGCCTACATAATAAAACTGTTAGCAAAAATTTACTCATAAACTATAAAATATATAATATATGAATTAATTTGTTTTGGACACTGACACCACATATTACTGATTTGTTTAATGATTGGTAAAATGTAAATAATTAATACCCCTATTATAAAATCAAACTGAAAAGGTATATGAAATTTAAAAATTAAAAACATATTTCACAACAGACAAAAAATAAAATAAATAAATATGTACTGTAAAGAGAGTTGCATTCACTAATTGCTTAGCAATCTGGAAGCAAATTATACTTATGTTCCTACTAACATTTTAAGGATAACAATATTTTAAGTTTGTATCAAGTTTTTTATTATGTTATTTAATAATTAGTTAATTACTTCTTAAAAACCTTACAAATACTATTTTAACTGTTTAACAAACTATACAATAAAGATAACCCATTTTTTAAAATATCAATCCTTCTTTTAGCAATAATAAACAAAAAAGCAATTTTTTTAAATTTATAACAATAAAATCTGTAGAATGGGAGCAATAAAAAGTAATAAAATGCAAAATGCCCAACCAAAAGGAGTTTTGTCATTTACCTCCTTGATCAGCAGGCTTCCCCCTCCGATTTACTGAAAATATGTTAATACCAAATCATATTTAATCTTAATGATAAATTTCCGTACGCTTGTCTTGGATATGTTGATGGCTGATGGTTACGAATTTAAAATAAAATATACATTATAATCACCCTTTCTATAAAACATATATGTAATTAAAAATATCAAAAGCAAATTGTCAGTTTTGAAAAGCGAAGGAAATATTTTAACCCAAAATAACAATTTTGAACTAAATTTTATTGTTGGTTTTAAAATCAGATGATATAATGATTACTATTACAAAAGAAATAATTTTACTTGATAAATAACTCTTCCAAAATGTAATTTATATAACTCTAAACAAATTTTTTATCTAAGAAACCATTAGTATGTTTGGTTAGTATATTCTCATAAAATAGGCATGTTTTTGTCATTAATTCCTTCAAACGTTATAAGTCTACATACATTTTAAAGTAATTTCATTACCCAGTAAAAATAGTCTAATCTAATGAAGTTACCAACTAACTGAAAATAAAAATAATGAAGAAAGAAACTTTACTGTTTAACTTTGTTGTATGTTTGATTATCATAAGTTATTTAGATAACCATCATTTTAGATCAAACAACATTAGTTATGAATAGTTATGATGGGTTATTAATAAACTTTTTTGAAAAAACCAAGTTTCAAATACAAAATTAAAATTTCTAACCTGTATCAGACATGTCATCTTCTGTATTATTGGCCAAGGGCATTGTAACGGATGAAGTCTTGGTAACAGTATCAACATTATCCACGGTTATCTTTTTATCTCGGTTGTCCTTCAAGTTGTTCTGGCTCAGATTGATATCTACTCTGTTGCCCGCACTGAAATTGATGCTGTTGGTTAGACAAATGCCAGTTGTCATCAAGGTAGCTTTACAGGTGCACAAATGCTACTAGCTAGTATTTTTCTAGGTAGTTTTACAGGTTACTAGCTAGTATTTTTATAGGTAGTTTTACAGGCACACAAAGGCTACTAGCTAGTATTTTTCTAGGTATTTTTACATTCACACAAAGGCTACTAGCTAGTATTTTTCTAGGTAGTTTTACAGGTACACAAAGGCTACTAGTTAGTATTTTTCTAGGTAGTTTTACAGGCTACTAGCTAGTATTTTTCTAGGTAGCTTTACAGGCATACAAAGGTTCCTAGCTAGTATTTTTCTAGGTATTTTTACATTCACACAAAGGCTACTAGCTAGTATTTTTATAGGTAGTTTTACAGGCTACTAGCTAGTATTTTTCTAGGTATTTTTACATTCACACAAAGGCTACTAGCTAGTATTTTTCTAGGTAGTTTTACAGGTTACTAGCTAGTATTTTTCTAGGTATTTTTACATTCACACAAAGGCTACTAACTAGTATTTTTATAGGTAGTTTTACAGGCTACTAGCTAGTATTTTTCAAGGAAGTAGCTACCAAACAAAAGTAATAGTGGGAATGAAGATATTCATTCAAGGTAAGTTAAACAAAGCAGTTTATGATTGTACAACTGGCATAAAACATGAGCGAATAAAGAGTTAAAAATAAAAAATAAAATCTACATGTAACAAGCTCGCTATATGTAGATTGTATAAGCATATATATCATGAAATCCAGGCAAACATTTATGAAATGTATATTTTTTTGCATTAAGAAATTTAAGTAATTCTTAAAAGCATAACACTTGTTTCACTACTATATATTTATAAATTAAATAAAAAATATGCATTTATTTGCTTCAAATTCAAAATACATGCAATACTATATTAAATTTTGGAAAAAGTAATCTAATATATTTTAACTGATAGTACAAATTTGTAAGATTGAATCAAATAAAAAAAATTTAAAAAAAAAAGGATTACTGACTTATCTAAGTTAACAAAAATACTCTTACGGCAGGATGCTACACAACAGCCACATGAACTCACTAGTTAAAATTTGCAGTCTTGTTCTCTTCATTGTTCTGTGGAGATGGTGGGCAGATGTTGACCAAAGGTGGTCTCCCTTGGGCAGCAAATTGCTCTGCCATTTCTTTCTCAATTTCCTCTCGTCGCTGCACAGCAGAAGAGGCAGAAAAGGAAAGAGATTAGATATGTATATTAATAATACATGTGTATGTGTATGTATGTATATGTATGTGTGTGTATGTGTATGTATGTGTATGTATGTGTGTGTATGTGTATGTATGTGTATATATATATATATATATATATATATATGTATATGTATGTATATATATATATATATATATATATATATATATATATATATATATATATATATATATATATATATATATATATATATATATATATATATATATATATATATATATATATATATACATATACATATATACATATACATATATACATATACATATATACATATATATACATATATATATATATATATATATATATATATATATATATATGTATATATATATATATATATATATATATATATATATATATATATATATATATATATATATATATATATAATGTATTTTGAAACTAATTTAAAATATCGGAATGCACTTCAACTTACAGTTCTATCAATGTTCATATAATTTAAATGTTTAGAAAATATTGATTGTGGAATGTTTTCATTGCACAATTTTAAAAATATTATTAAAGATTAGTAAATTATGAAATTATGAAGTAGTTTTTTCTAAATTACTAGCACTTGATATGTAAATATGGTATCTTATAATATTAGGACTATACATACATGTATAACACATGCATTTATATATGAGAAGGTAATCTGTGTACATTTATGTATGAATGTGGGTTTATAAATAAGCATTTCAGTTGAGTGTGTACATTGTTATATTTAAATGGCTCTGGATCATCAAAGTTTTTTTTCTCTCCATATGATTTGATCTTAATTAATTTAATAAACACTTAAGTTAGATTACTTCCATTTTATTTTGTTACTTAATAAAATAAACTATTTAGATATTTATTAACTGACGACTTTCTGACAGTACTGATACAATACGAATGGCATGCAAGGTAATTTTTAATGCTTTACTACACTTCATCACATAGGCCAAAGGTGGGGTGTGGGAGTGGTATCGCTATGTGTGGTCACATAATGAATACACTGTATTCACTTGGTCACTGCATGCACAAAACAATAGAAAACAATACTCCAACAATTTGGAGGCTACAATGGAAGATCAATAAAATATTACTACTATTACTACTATTTCTAAAAGGCCTACAATTTATAAAGAAAAATCATGGTTAATCAATCTAACAAATTGAGTAGTATATAGTATATAGTTATGAATATACTCAAAGAAGAATATATAATATATAACATTTATAATCTAATTTTGTAAATAAAACAATATTTTGTAAATATTTCATCGTTTACTAAAAAAAAATTAGCAAGTGTATTAATAGAATGCAATTTTATAAAAGTGTAGATAAATAATTTTTATTGTCGATATCACCACACAAAAAACTCTCTAAGAATAAGACATCCACTAAAACTGCTAGCTTGAATTCTCTTTCCATGCTATTTTTTAATCTTCTCTAAAGCTGGGATGCTTAATGAAAGACAACTCATCCAATTTCTTCTGTCTATTAGAGTTACACCCCTTAACTTTATTGAAAAAAAAATGTGTCTGGGTTATGTGCATGGTACAATTCAAAGAATCCAATTTCCTAAAAATATTTATATCCTGACAGCCTTCTATTAGGATTATTCTCTTGATACATAGAGAAATACACATGTTAGAACTGTGGAGTCTGATAACATTGAATTAGCAGTCTAAACTGTACAGGCGTTTTAACCAAAAAATTGTTGCAAAAAAAAGGTGGGGGGAGTGGGAGTGGTGTTGTGCTGGTTGGTGTATGTCTAGTTTATAGATGCATCTGCTATAAAATGAGTACATGCTTATATTTTAATCCTCTTTAAATCTGCAGGCAAGCAAAAATCATTACTTCCCTTAACTCTATTGAAATAATGTACATCTCATTAATTTTGTACATTTATTCACATGCGCATATATTGTGTCTTTAGAATTATTCATAAAAACTAGCAACCCTTCATGTCTAAACAAAACTGGTTACAATTTTACAGGACTCAGCATACAATACATACAATATTGGAATTAACCCCTAACAATCTAAAACATAAAAAGCGTTGCATTCAAAGCTACAAATTTACAAACGAATTAAACGTTCCATTAAGTTGAACTCTGAAGGACAAGAGGAAAAAATAAGAAAACATTTTTCATGATCAGTTTATAACAGTCAGATAAATATTTTATTTATCGTTATTGTTTTTGAAGATGCTGTATTGGATACTATAAAAACAAAATGTCGTCTGTAGAAAATGAATCTAACATTTTACTGTGAACTGAGCGAACTAAAAATAAAACTTGCTATTTGAAATACAGACAGATCAAAACATTTTATTTAAATTTTTGAGGTATAATAAGTCTGGGTTTAACAAAAAGAGTCTGTAGTTTAAAAACAAAGACATTATAGTAAAATTTGAATATAAGCAAATATGATAATTTAGGTACGAATAAAAGGAATGTTACATTTTTTAAAAATTGCTTTATTGTAAAACAGAAAATAAAGTAAAAAAAAAAAATCAAGCTACATATAACATACATTTTTTTCAAGTTAACCAGTTCAAAATTTTAAATTCTAAATGTATAATATTCTAAAATGTATAAAATACAAAAAAATCATTCATATTTATTGAAATCCTTAGAAAAGATATTTAATATTTAAAATCCTCAAAACTGTTTCACCAAAAAAATTGTATCTGTTTTAGTAATATCCCACACACTGACAAATAAAAGTAATTGCTTAAATTTATTTATAAATTTCTTATTAAAATGGAAAAATAATCTTGAGACAGACATTATAAAAACAATTTTAAGAGACAATAGATAACTGGCATTGAATTTTATCTGTTCAAAATACTAAGTAGACCTACCAAATAATAAAATACTTCACTTTATCTTTGTAAAAACACAATCACTTAAGTTGTAAGCTTGTGATGGTTAAATTATTTAATTAATAAAATCTAGGCCAGAATGTAATGAAACCATAATGGAAGTTGTTTTTGAAATATTTAGTTGAATAGTTTACTTTTTAAATTTTCTGAATTTAACCACAAATTCAATTTTTAAAAACTGTACTTTAGCAATTGCCTGAATATAATGCTATTTCTTTTTCTCATGATAGAAAATTTAATAGTATAGAAAAATAAAAATAAAAAATATTTTATAAAACACAAACACTGAAATTAATAAATTTTATAATTATTCCCCATTATTACAAAAAAAAAAAAAATTGATCACTTACTACTGCTTCTTCTTCTTCCTGTTCTTCTTCTGCAGCCGTAAGCTCCTGGGCATTTGCCAGATTGTCTACTGCGATGGCCAAGAACACATTCAGCAGAGTGTCTTTTTATTGTTAAGAAAAATCCAAAACGTATTCAAGTTTTATCAAATAGTGTTTACTTTATTATAAAGTCTGCCTTTGTTTACCAGATATAAATAGTATATTAAATATTTCATATAGTTATAGAATTAGATATTATCTTGCATATGAAAAAGCTAAAATTAGAAAAGTTTTATAAAAGGTAAGTGTACCCAACTAAATCTGCAGAACTTCAAACACTCAAAACAAAATGTCAGTAGCAAGAAGAGAAGGGGTGGAGTGTTAGCCCTAGGTGTGAATATTATATGCTTTATTAATGGCCACCAAGTCTTTTTGAAACCTAAAAATTATTTTAAGCAATTTTGTTTAAATATTATTTCTATAATTTATATTTCTATATGATAGTTAAATAATCAGAACTATAATATAATTTATTTCATCTCTCGATAACCAGAATGACCAAATGATTAAAAATCTATTAACCAGAATGACCAAATTATAAAACCTAATGTAGATCTAATGTCCAGGATACAGTTACCAAACAGCACAAGGACTATAAAGTATGCAGAAAAGAACATTCCTCCTTCCTCTATACCACCATGGGCTTTGATACCATTGTACATGACTTCATTCCAATCTTCTCCTGTTAATATCTAAAAAAAGAATGTGTAAAATTAAAACAAATTATGAAATTATTTTTTAAGGAAAGAAAAAAAAATATTTGAAACCATTTATTAGAAAAACATAGAATTAAAAAGTTTTAGCTGAAAATACATTTTTTAAACAATTGTAGAGGAAAACTTAAAATTATTAGACTTTAAAGAGTAACTGTAACAAAAAAAAATTAGTTAAAATAATTTAAAAAACTAAATTTGGATTTCAAAGGCTTCATTTAAAAAAAATAGTTGCTATATTTGTTACTTTCTTGTGCTGAGATTTGTTTTACCTGGAACACTGTGAGCAAAGCAATAGGGAATGTATCAAAGTGGGCAGAGGGTCGACCTTCTTCAAAGTTCATTCTAAAATACAAATAAAAGAATGCAATTACTGTAGATCCCACTTTAAACAAAACAGTTTATTATGCAATAAAAATGTTTTTTCTTCAAAGTAATATACAGTCTCTAGCATTTTTCACTGATTTGATTTATTCTGGCATTATATGAGGTTCAACCACAATTCTAAATGTAAACTATTTCAAATGTTTATTTTTTCAATACATTATTTTCTTGTCAGTTTTGAACTACTTAGCTTATAAATATTAATAATACAGAAAATGATTATTTTAGAACTTTTCTATTTAACATTTATTGGTGGAGATGTTCACTCTTAGACCATCTCCATTGCAAAATGAGAGTTGGATCATGTTGAGTCCCATCTCATTGATGCTCTAGGGTTTAGAAAATTCTTCTTACAGTCAGATACAGAGAGAATGAAAGCCATGGCTGGATCTCTTTCCAGTGTATAGACCAACACAATCCTAACTAGGACTAGTCTTGACTAACAGCAAAAGTTCAATAAACCATAACTCTATAGCCATTCATATCCAGTTGCTTTAAATACTTATCTTCCCAACCTAGTCAGTTCTCATACCATGACACCTCCCTTAAGGATAGAGATACTGGAAGATTCTGTAATTTTGTGTCTGTTTTACCACTAAACTTACTCTCCTCCAAAGAGTTGCATGCCCAAAAGTGCAAACACTATGATGAAGAGGAAGAGTAGAAACAAGAGACTGAGAATTGATCTCATACTGCTCAACAGAGATATCACCAGGTTTCTCAATGAAGACCAGTATCTGTGGAATAATTCATTGAGATTTACAGCACATTTTCTAACTAATTTAATAAAAAACTAGTTATTAAAATTTTAAAAAATTTACATTTTGAAAATAAGATTAAAACACATTTAAAAGTTAAAAGTTTTCTTCTTCTGAATGTAAAAATTATAATATTTGAACAATGAAATAAATCTCTCCTCAACATCATTTATTTATGAAACAAAATAGGAAACAATGATGGAGAAATAGAAGAAATTCTGGAGTTTACAAAAAAAAAATGCCTCCATTTTTCTGAACATGCATTTTTTTTAGAGTATTAAAATAAAACCATTTTGCAGAGATAAAAGTTATCTTAAAATTTTCAAATTTCAATAAAAAAAAAAATACTAGCATAAAATGAAAGAAATATATTACCTAGTCACTTTAAATATCCTGAGCAAACGGAGGGCCCTGAGCACACTAATACCAAATGAAGATCCTTTTTTAAATTCAGACCATATGACTTCAATTATACTGCCTACTATAACCTGAAAAAAAATGTTAACATTTATGATAAACCCCATATGTGCACTTGAGCCCCATTTTGTCATACATACAGTGGTGTATGTAGGATTTTGTTATGAGCGAAGGGGTAAAAATAATGCCATACATACTCCTATAGCCTAGGTGGACTTTTGGGTACTACTAGTGTGCTTTTGATCATATTTTAACAACAATCTCAATTATGAAACTAAAATCAATGAAAGTGGCCAACAGTTGTAGTTTAAACCCCCTCCCACCCTGATACATCAGTGCCTGCACAAATAAAGACTTGACTGAGTTACCCAATGATGCATCTATCTGTGATGACAAAGGAAACCAATGACAACTCTGCTATGAAATGAGCTTGTATGAGGCCGATCTGCTTGGGGGGAAGGGGGGGTAATATTTAAAACCATTTTATATTTACATTTAATTTTAATTTATTTTTGTTTTTGTTTACTGCTAATAAATTGTAAACAATTATTCAATAAAGATATGATAACATTTTAAACTTCTTTAACTTACCACACAATCAAATATATTGAAAGACGATTGAAAATACATTCGTACTCCTAAAGCATACATTTTTATTGACATCTCAAAAATGAACAGTCCCAGGAAAGCATATTCTGTAATGTCTGTAGATTAAATGTTCACAAATAAACAGTTTTTCTATTTCTAGCATTTAAAACAAAACAGAATTATTTTATAGTTTATTTTGTAATAACAGGTTTGTTTTTTAGCTGGCATAAGGGGAGAATTTTTTATTCAAACTCAGCATATAAAGTTGTTTCTGGTAATACAGTAATACAGTCCAGGTAAAGTTTCTTGAGTAAATGTTAATGGGCTACAAAAACTAAAATAATTAAAAACTGTTAAATGATTATACCCGATAAGGCATGTTTTGTTTAGGAAATTAGAGGGTAAAAAGTAGTTTGAGTACAGTAAAGTATTTTTTTAAATTAGAGTTTACTTTTGACAGCTTGTTTTACTTTAAATCATTTCAGGATATAGAGTGGGTAGAAAATTAAGAAGTTTTCTAACTTGTAGACTTTAATCAAATAGTTTTAGAGATCAAGATTTAATTGTCAGTCAGTGTCTAGTTCTTTGAGTTTGGTAAATTTATATAACTGAACTATATTTAAAAAATAATACTTTTCCAAAAAAGTAATTGATATAAGTAGGCATAATATGTAAACTAAAATAAATTGAATTTTGCAATGCAAATTATAGATCGCCACCTTAATACACCCAGTATAGGTTCATAAACTGATAAAATAGACTCACATAAAAACTGAAAATGCTACCACAAAACCCCTGGTAAAAGTTCATGAACTGATAAAAAAAATAAATCACATAAAACTGAAAATGCCACCCACAAAATCCCTGGTAAAAGTTCATGAACTGATTAAAATAAACTCACATAGAAACTGAACATGCCACTCTGGCTGTTTGTAATGTTCTGACGCCACTGATACAGTGTTGAGAAATACTAGAACGATGACTATCCAATAAAAAAGTTGACTCTTGACTAGACGACGTATGGAGTACCTAAACCTTTTCTCTGCTCTCCAGAATGAGGCACACTTCCCTGTTTTTCTTTTCTTCAAGTTTTTTGTAAAGGAATTGCCTGAAAAATGAAGAATTTTAATAACTTTTGACAGAAATGAAGTAGTGTTGCACTAATTAAAATTACATTTTTCCATGATCAGCAACATTTTTATGTCAATAGATCCAAGAGAAGTGGGTAAACCAGTTTTAAACTGCTATTTTGATAGTTATAACCCAGAGAACATGATGGATAAAATTACATCCTCAAAACCACCTGGTGATCTAAAGGTTCAATAATTTTTTTAAAATTATAAAATTAAATTTGGTGGTGTTAATACACCTTTCAATCCTTGGTGTGAAAAACAAAACAAATATTGTATGTAGGCTACTAAATGATATCTATGATAAGGCATCTTTACTTTCCCAACTTAGCTCAGGCCTCAATAAAATTAAGTAGACTCATGATATCCTACAGAAGTAGTAAACAGAATCATTCATGTTAACTAAAACATTAATGCACATCCTAAAAAGGTGAATCGGTACAATATTGTGACATGTAACAAACTCTGACACTAAATCACTATCCTGCGGTGACAAGTCAAACACAACAAACCTGGTGCCATTGCGGCCAACAATTCATCTTCATTTTGATCATTCTCATTCTCTGTGTCGTTCCCTTTTAGCTGTTTCATTTTCCTAGCTGCTGCCTGCCTGCGAGCTGTGAAAGAGAATATAACCCATTAGGGCAATCAACATTTGGGAAATTAATCATAGGAAGAATTAACATAAGGAGAAATTAAAAGTATAGGAATTAAGATGGAAGAAATTAATTATATAAGAATTAGAATAGGAGAAATTAACATGGGGAAATTATTAAGGCAAACTTGCAAAGGGGAAATTTATATGGGATAAATTTACTTGGAGAATAAGAATTTGGGTATTAAACTTTGTAAAGAAAGACTAGGCAAATTTTATATTGTAAGTATTAGTGTTACATTATAGAGATGCAAGTTAAAAGCAAAAATAGAGTTTTAAAAATTTAATGCCACGAAAAGAATTCTAACTGTAAACAATTAAGTCACTTAATGACAGAGTGAGTAAAATTATAACAAACCTTCAATAATTTTTAGTTTTTCCTCATCTGTTGTTCTTTCTTCACTAAGAATCACTTCCTCTACAGAGAATAATGGTATTACCCAGTTAATTTTATAAAAAAATAGCAGGAAGTTACAATTATAATACAATATAAAATATAATACAATAAAAAATCTGTGTTCTGAAAAATCTGAAAATCTGTTAATATACTACATAACTATATAAACATCTCTCTCTGTACACAGGATATATATATATATATATATATATATATATATATATATATATATATATATATATATATATATATATATATATATATATATATATATATATATATATATATATATTCATGAAAATATAATATCTGAATATTGTTTATGTTAATCTAAACTTATAAATAGACAACTAACCAGCTTTACATATCCATTCCAGGTAGCCATTTAGCTCTCTTTCAATTTGCTGCTGCCTACGAAGTTTGAAGAAGGCTCTGCGGTTTTCTACTCTTTCTCTCTCTTTGGCAAATTCTCTGTTGACCAACAACAAGTTTATTTTTTAGTCAGATGTAAACAAAGTTTTATTTTAAAATATAAGTCATAGTATTTCCCAGAAAAAAGTAGAATTGAAAATATAGGCAACAGATATTTGGGCACAAAAAAGTCTGTGTGTGATTTTCTTTTTAAATTAATGATTTTTAATGACTTAAAAAAGAATGACCACATGTAAAAAATAGTATAAAAAATAACATATTTCCATGAAATATGACCAAATAAAACTGTATTAGTGTTATGTCTTTGCATTTGCACATTGTTCAGTTTGGGCAATTTTATGTTGGGCTTATTGACTTTCTGGTCACCAGATTACGGACATGGTTACAAGATTGTTATGAATTGAAGTGTGTGCTAAAAATTATTTTCTTATTTCTTACTTACCCACTAAGCACACCTAAAACTAGATTTAGCATGAAGAATGACCCAAGTATGATGAGTGGAATAAAGTATAAAAAGTTGAAATAGCTTCCTAAGGCATCATTTGTCTGGGGAAACAAATTTTTTAATGATAAAAACTTTTTAAAATCAACCTTTCTGACAAAAACATATTTAATAATGAAGTTAAACGAAAAGCTTTGTTGAAAAATGAATAGTAACTGATAAACCCCCATACTTTTTTCTACCTATATTATTACACTTATTTTTTATCACATACAATTTTCAAAAGAATTGCCTAACTTTAACTTTTGTCATTAAAAATGTTTCAGTGTTTCAAATAAAATTAAAAAAAAAAACATTTTGCTAAAACTTAGTTTTTCTTTTAGGAACTTAAAAAACCCAGTGAGGACAATAAGTTTGTATTACTCTAGCACAACAACTACAATAGATCATTAAAAAAAAAAGAGTATTCTATTAAAAAGCGAATTTAAATTCAGCTTACGAAGAACGTTGTTAAGAGTTAGCGTTTTGTTAAGGTTCATCTTGAATTAACTAGTTCCAAGTGATAGACCAAGTGTAAAGAATGTAATTATAGAAAAAAACTTAATTTTCTAATTATTGGCTCAACTTTGTACATATATGGGCAAGAGTGTATTCATTTTCCAAAGATTAAACATAAAAGTAGAAATAATCCAATTGTAATTTTCTTACATAATATAAGACATTGGTCCAGCCTTCCATTGTGATACACTGAAACACAGTCAGCATTGCAAAGCCAATATTATTAAAACTTGTTATACCATCATTGGGGCCCTTCCAGTTAGGCAAACAAGTTGAAATATTTTGCTGGCAAATAAATGAACTATATGTCCCTTGATCATTACATGGACGTATGTCTTCTTCATCTCCAGTGTCTATATTATCTAAAGAAATACAAAAATATATTATGGGATCATAGTTTAGAATGAATAAAATCAATATGAGCATGTAAAAATAATACAACTCTTGTGTAGGACTACATACTTTTTGAGGTAAATAAAAATGTGATGAAAAATATTTGTAATATGAATGATAGAATAATTAATTTCTAATGGTATTATCTTCAGATAAAATATATATAATGGATTACCATTTAGAAAAAAGAAAAATATCATGAACAACATGGACAAGACAGCTCTAGTGCTTCAGATGCTGTTTATTACAGATAAAAAAAAACCTAAAAGTTGGTTTTATACCATGTTCTGGGCTGAATTAAAGACTGAAGGCCCCATGGGAGTTAATAGAATTGGGCCCTTTTTTCAGTAATATAGCTTCAATGTACACATTGCTTTTTTGAAACATTTCCAAAAAATGTTTTTAATTAATCCACTCAGACTCCCCAGGGTGTAATAGAGAATATTTCTTGCTAAAGAAAATTTTTTTAGGGAGCCATCGGTTAGATGTTTGATAAACAAAGTTACTGTCACATAGCCATTCTCAGCTCAGTGGTAGAGCTAGGATGAAGGGGGTTAGACTATACAGATACAGGGTGACATAGGCCTACATAATTATATAGGGGCTTGTAATTTTTTTAAATCTAGAATTTGTTCCAGAGCTTGGTAGGCCTCCTAAAATTTTAGATCCAACACTGTCCATTTTCCATTTAAACAATTCATTTACATTTTGTTTTTACAAATCATGACCTAGTAGCTAAAGATGGTTAACAACTAATTAAAACAATGTGTGAGTTACCTTCAGTGCGCTCACTAGAGCCCACTTTGTAGCAAGCATTCTTAAATGCACCAACATAAAACTCAAGGCCAATGATTGCAAAGATGACAATGGCGAAGAGAACGAGGAGGCAGACCTGCAATAAAGGTGCCATCGCTCGGATGATCGACTTGAGCACCACCTGGAGGCCTGGGGTGGAAAGATATATCCGTATGAAACACTAATTGCATTTTTAAAATGTTTCTAAACAACAAAATAATTTTATACAAACAACAAAGCTACAAACAACCAAAAACACGATTCCAAATATGGAATTAAAAAACAAACAAGACTTTTGATGTAACAGAAACAAATAAAATTTAAGTATATCATTTTATAAACTGCAGAACAAGTCGATAATAAAGCTTGAATACAATTTTTTAAAATTTCATTTTTTTAACAGACCAGAAGTACTTATTAGAAACTGTTAGATGAAGAGATTTAATTCAAATAGACAACTAAAGGACATAATACAGATAGGTTTTAAGGGACATAAGTCAGGTACATAGATGAAGGAATAAGCATAGCTAAAAGACATATCAATTGAAGAAAGAGAGCTATTTGTCTGTTGATAGTAAGATAAAGGACTTTTTAAAGAAGAATGTTACAGAAAGACATGAAAGAAAGCTACACAAACCAGTGCAGGTCTCATTTGATTACACACTGGCAACTAACCAGATTTTTAACTTGGCAGAAATATTTCAGTACACTTCTTATATGGCTAAACACCTATGCCAGGTTTATTTTCATCATTAAAAAAGGCTAAATATAATTCAAGGAAAACTGGCTTAAAAATATATATAGGTAAATGAGGTGAAATAAAAAAAACTTTAGCACTTAGATGAAAAGTTTAACAATTTTCTCTTGAGGAATAATAACAAGGTTCAAAAGATATGTTTATAGAATTGTCAAGTTAAAAGTAATCTAATCAGAGTTGAAATTAATTAAGATCAGCCAGGCTAATGAATGTTTTCATAATTTAAAACTGTGTTTATTAGCTTTACCAATAAGTTTTTGTAAGTGACTTAGATTTATTTTTATATTAAGGTTTCTTTAACATTTAATGATAGTTAAGAACATTGAACTCTTAAAATAATGAGAAAATCTGATTTTCTTTATCAAGCAGGGCATGTATCAACATGATTTTTGTCAACAGTTCCTGAGTTTCAAAACATACTGGGAATTCCAGACACCAGCTTGAGAGGTCGAAGCACTCTGACCGCACGCAAAGTGCGAAGGTCGAATGTACCAGAAGACCCACTGGAGGCAAACAAGGTGATAAACCTGTAAAAAAATTAATAAATGATTAATTGACAATGTTTGACAAATGATTAAGATAATCACTATTCTGTTACTAATTAGATGTACTATTTTTAGGCGCAAATGACGAAAAAAAAATCTGACTTCACTATTTAGTGTATTTAGAGACCTGCTAGAACTTCAAAGGCCGATAGAATTCAAAATTACCTACAATCAAACTTTAACAGAAAACTACCACACTAAGAATAAAAATGTAAAATTATACAGTAATTGTAGCTGCCTCATTAATTAGTAAAACACAGTTTAAGCTTTTATTAAACCATGCAAGTGAAGTAAATTAAATTGATTACCATTTCATGTGTGTATTCATTCTGATATCATTTAATATTTAAAGCAATTTGCAATGTCATAATTAAAGTTTAAAGATATAACACAAAGCAGGTCTGATAACATAAATCATAAAATAATATAAGGCCCTATACTAAAAAGTGCCTTATGTAATATGTAGGACTAATCTATTACGTCTTTAATATAGAAATCTTATCTAGATCTAGGCCTATGTTATTATTTTAATAAAAAATGTGTTTTCAAATGTCAAATAAATCTAATCTTTTGTAGATCTTGTATCTACATAATCCAACATTTTAAAATTATTTAAATAAAATATATGCCTACATTTTATAATGTAACATTTTAAAACTGGTGGGTAGCCCTAAGCCTTGCCTCCAGCGAAACTGAATTGGTAAGCCTCGAACTGCGCGCGAAAACAAATTGCGTGATTATTCGTAGTTCTAGGCCCAAATCTTCCGATATTCAAAGTTTTTTTGTGAGGGGGGGGGGGGGGGGGAGGTCGTAGACCCTAGGAATTGGCTTACTTCTTTAGCTTGGGGCCTAATCTAAATGATTTGGCCTTGTTTAAATTTATCGAGCGCGATAAAAAAGCGACATATTTTAACGACAGTCAAGTGAAGAAGGTTCAATGCGATCGATATGGCTTTAACATTCGCAGAATTTTCTGGCCACACGATTTTAAAATATTACTTTCTGACAATTTATAAGAAGCAAATCGTGAAAATAGAGTCATTGGATTTACAGAAAATCTAGATCTAATTCTATATTAATAAAAAAAAATAAAAAATAAAAGAATAATTAATAAATAGACTACTGATAATGGGCCCTATATTACTAAGGAAAAAGAAAACGCATTTGATCCAGTAGCGTAGCGAGGGGGGGGGGGCGGGGGGGGGGGGGGCGGGGGGGGGACATATGTCCCCGGGCGCCGACCTTAGGGGGGGCGCCAAATTGAAAGTTTGAGGGGGTGGGGGGTGCAAATGAAAAGTTCGAGGGGGGGGGGTGCAAATCGAAAGTTTGAGGGGGGGGGGGTGCAAATGAAAAGTTGCTCCCAAGGGGGCGCCAAATTGAAAGTATGTCCCCGGGCGCCGGGAAGGGTCGCTACGCCTCTGATTTAATCCACTGTGTTCGGTGATAATTAATATAATTATTGATCTTTCATAGAAAAAAGAAATTTATCTTTGTAAATGTAAAACGCCTGGCGAACACTACAGAGGCTATAATAACTAATTAAGTCTAGTCTAAAATTAAAAACAGTTTTATTGACATTAATAAAATTGTGCTTTTTAAAGTTCGTAGGACAGGCCTACCACTAACTAATGTTTTAGGTTGGTGATGAAACGTGATTTGGGCTTTTGGTGAATTCATTTTGCCCTTCATACGAATGAAGTTTGAACTTTAATTGTAGTTAGTTAACTTTATTGTATAGTTTTTTTTTAAATGATCACCTTGTGGATCACGTGATTCATTAGAACATTTTCAAATTATATTATTCTTAAATTTTATTTAAAAAATTAATTCTACAAGATGTTAATTTATTGAACTAAAATTTAAAATTTTGACAAATACTAAAAAGGTATTCCATAAATTTAACACTGATTTAGCGTTAATGCTGATTTACACACCACAATCTTTGTGAGCACAATTTAGCATCGGCAACATTTGCAGATTTAACTTATACTAACCATACTGGCGACATCGTAGAATTTACACAGTAACACCACTGTAAAAGAACTTACCCAGTAACTACTACTATAAAATCCATGATGTTCCAAATATTTCTTAAATAAGACTTTTTGTGTAAACAAAATCCTAATGCTACTATCTTGAGAAATGCTTCTACACAGAATATTCCTAAAAAGTACACTTCTGTCTCGTCCTGTAGAGAATAAAGAATAAAACAGTTACATTTTTATTACACAAGGCAAGGTCCTGTTTCTGTTAAGTTTTACATGCATTTATACACAAACAAAATAAATACACATATTTACAGAAATATATACAACGAGCCGGCCCGCGGCATAACATACGCCGCTATTTAGTTGTTTCTAATTTTCAATAATTCATAATTTGTGAATTCGACAGTACCAACGCTGACACTGAAAATATTTCTTTAAAACACTATAAGTAGCTCGTTAAGGACCATAACCCCCCCCCCCTTCCTCCCCCCCCCTACGTTTAAAATCGTTGGCTCTGCTTGTAAACATTTAGAGTGAACACAGCTCACTAAAACCATGTAGGGGTGGGGAGGTAGGGAGAGCGTTTGCAGCTTGTTTTCTAACGGCTCGAAGAAGAGAATTATATATATAGAAGAAGAAGATAGTAAAAATATAATCAACAAAAATATTAAAAACACGAATTGGCTAGCTGAACAGCTAGACATCTATTCGTCCTTACACTACAGGCCATTACCCCCCCCCCCTCCACACCTTGTAAATGGGCCTACGTTTATTTGAGCTGTTTGTCTTTTTGTCAATGTTGTTTTAAATGAAAATCTTACACACATCTCAAACCTATATGGGGCATATATATATATATATATATATATATATATATATATATATATATATATATATATATGCGTCTGCCTACGTATGATGGCCTATATTTAAAAAGTGCACACGGGGCCATTAACTGAAAGAAAACAAATGGAAATATCTGCTCCTAGATCCAATTTTGAGAACAATTTTACCGATTTCCCATTCGAATATTGCTCATGTGTTTCAAGTACAAGTGACATTTACACGTGGGAACAAGAAGAAAATGCCACCCCAACCCCCTTCTACTCACTACCAGCCACCTACACGATATTTTTTTAAAATTTTGTTTATAAAGCTTTGAAATGTGGGGTACAAAAATCACATTTCCCTTCTATTCTAACGGTTAAGAAAAATCAATTTTTTTTTATCGAATAGCCCAGAATAAAATAGCATGCGATGGATTTAGATTTTAAAAAATGTTTTTATACAATCGATTCCAGAACATTCCCTACAACGTCGTATGAATACACAAGATGCCCATTGTTGTAAAGAAATGTGTGGTATATATAAATACCAATACGTCTGAGTCACACAGACGTAACCACAAAACATTGGAGGGATTGTGATCTCCATAGCAACTAATCTTTAGGGGGTCATCCAAATATGACGTCACGCTATTCTGAAGATTTTTTTACCCCCCCCCCTCACCAGCTCCCTCACACATCGTCAGAAAAAGCCAGACCCCCCCCTCCCGTAAAATGACGTCCCACCTCAGCCTTCAACCCTCCCCCCACCTCAAAATAGTATTTGAATTATTATTTATAAGGGGTCATCCATAAATGACGTCACGCTTTTTTGGACGATTTTTACCTCCCCACTCCCCTCCACCACACGTCATCACAAAAAGCCAGACCCCCCCCAAATGACGTCACACCTCAGCGTACAACCCCCCCCCCCCCCCTCAAAATTGCAGTTGAATTTTTCTTAAAACATCGACATTTTCCAAAATCTTGTCAGAATTCTGTCAACATAAAGTATTTTGATCAATTCCTATTACAATTGATTAAAACCGTTTTCTAAAACGCGAAATAACGGCTAAAACTCATTTTCTAATATTGCTTTTTTATAATGCAAAAAAAGTGACGTTACACCATCTGAACCCCTCCCCCCCCCCTCCCTTCATCACACATCGTCACAAAATAATGGACCCCCCAACGAGTGCGACGTCATTTATGGATGACCCCTCAATGTACTATGGGGCTTCTACAGACAATGTGGTTCAGAAAGAGGTAGGGGTGGGGGGGGGGGGGGGTCGGTCGGTACAGATCATGATAAATCCCGAGTTCGAACCCCGGGGCAGATGATTCTCGATATCTTGGGACAGCAACTCTTCTAGGAGAGTAAAACTAAAAACCAAACAACCACTGCCTTGTAACACAAAAAATATGGAAGCAAATCCAGAAAGAAATGCAGGATGAAATCGTAGTCAACAGGCCATAACGTGTTGACACGTAATACTTAATTATGTTGAAGGAAATCATGTCCGACTTTACAGATAAAAACGAAGAGGAACATAAATAACGAGCCGACCCGCAGCGTATCATACGCCGCTATTTAGTTGTTTTATTTTCTACTTTTCAGTAATTCATAATTTGTGAATTCGACAGTACCAATGCTGCCACTGAAAATATTTGCTTTAAAACACTATCAGATGGTCGTTAAGGACGATACCCCCCTCCTTTCCCCCAACCCCTACACCCCCCCCCCCCGTGAAAGTAAACTCCTCTTAGTTACCTCTCCTAAGTTTAAAATCGTTTCAAACTAAATTATCTGCCCCTAATAGCCGTCACTAAACCCGGCTCTACGATTGTAAACATTTAGCGTGAACCACAGCTCACCAGACCATGTAGGGGTGGGGGTGGTAGGGAGCGCGCTTACAGCTTGGTGTTTTCTATCGTCTCCAAGAAGAGAATTATATATATATATATATATATATATATATATATATATATATATATATATATATATATATAGATAATAAAGAAGTATCTAATCGCAAGGGGGGAGGGGGGTTAATGGGAAATGTCTTTACAAACCTACAGAGTAATGCCCAGAGATAAGTGATCAAATGGGACCATTAGGAAAAGAAAAATGTTTAGAAGATTAACATTTAAACTCTTACAGACAATCTGTTGAGAGAGATATTAAAAATCCTGAAATAGCTTGATCTAACATGACGAACAAGTCATTGAATTGATTTGTTTGTGTGTGTGTGTGTGCAAACAAACGTAGATCTAAAAAAAAAACTGGTCTACATATTTTCACCAGATGTAAGAATTTACACTTGTAAAATAAAATAAAAATAAAAACCTTTAAAATGACAAGCTTATAATTGCAATGAAAACAAGAAAATAAAAACAAACTTTCTTCATTTAATAAAAGCTTTGATCGCTAAAAGAGGCAAGCGATCTCTTAAAATTTTATTAAAGCAACCCCCCCCCCCCCTTAATTTTGAAGACATTTAAAAGTTTGCTATATATTTTTATATTTGTTAATTTTTACACTTTTTTTAAGCATTCGTTCTCAAAGTTTTACACTGCATAGATTATGACTTAAAATATTTCCGTTAAAACCCGCCAAGTAATTTATGATCTCTAAAAGGTAGGTATCTACATTATTCTACATCTACTTCGTCAGTGTTACACATTAAAAATCAGCCAACCGTTACGAACAACAGTTCACCCTCGACGTTTAGCTATCGAGTTATCTCTAGTCTTTAATCGCGTTATCTCCCCTTATCTCCCCATATTGATTACTTTTAAATGACGAATTTAAAACCTAATTGAATTTTAAAAAAATATATATAGATATCCATGTATTGTCATATAATAACGACGTATCTACACATTTTGAACAAAATCGCTGCATTAGAAGTGGGTCAAATTGAGTTATACGATTGGTCAGAAACCCACAAAAAGGAAAACAAACAGATGTTACGAACTAGCCTAAGTAGAGCTCTGTAAAAAGCCCATTTTAGAGTGGATAGATAAAGGCCAAATCTGTTGAAAAATAAGCAACATTCCACACAAAAATGTGAGACATATAGCAGTATAACTTTCATATGTAGGGCTACATAAATTTTTAATGTAAGATAATAAAGGCTACTATTTTAAAGATAATAAAGATGTCTAATATTAAATATTCCATGGTAAAATATTAGCAATTAACGATATAATAATCGTGTTTCCCTGAGCAACTAACTTAACATAGAATTAAAAAATAAACACTTCCGGTATGGACCGCGGTTCGCTATTTGCTCATGGAAACATGGCTCACATACTCACCAACTGCAAGGCTAGCGGCGTCTTGTCCTGCATGGGCAGATGTTCCTCCAGAGCCAGAACTATACAGTTGGCGATAATAGTCAGCAGCACCATGTACTCGAAGGGCGTGGACAGTGGTCAAGGAATTTTTTTGTTTTAAATTTGAGTGAACACACATTTTAACTTAACTCAACCCGTATTCACACAAAACCACCCTCTCCCCCATACCCCACCCTTCTCATATTCAACGAACCACTTTCAATTATTACACACACATCTTATAACCACACGCGCTTTATAATTTCAAGCATTCTTAACCATGTCATTTCATCGCACATATGTTCGATCTTTAAAAAAAAATACACAATCACTTGTAAGCAATGGACACAAGCGAGAAAAGTCTCAAAGGTATTTGAGAGGTGCATAAATTAATTTAAAAATCTTGCACGGCGTAGTTACAATTAATATGGTTATAAAATCCTGTCTGTCTGGTTTTTTTCGGACTTTACTAAAGATTGGACGTATTTGATGTTTTTAATATTTTCAGTAACTAAATAAAAATTTAAAAAAAAAGCAAAAACAATTTGGTTTTCACGTGTAATGGCGACATAAACAATGGCATCCTGCTATTGGATAGGCCGACATTAATTTTATTGTACACATTGTAAGCTAAAAATAGAAAACTAGGTCATGGGGTTTTAAATTTGCATTGTTATTTAAAAACTTGATCTGCAAAGTTTTGTAAACAAATAGTTATCGATCACTAAGTTACTGTACAGCCAATCAATATTTGTCTTACGAAAGTGAAACATCCGGTTATAACTTAGGCTTGATGAAAATAAATAGAAATGTAGCCTTAAACTCAACAAATTATTTTCAATTTCTCTGGATTTACAACTTTTATGGCATTTATTCTAAATTAATTTTAGGCTTAAGTTTTTTTTTTTTTTTTTTTTTTTTACGGTCTCAATCTAAAAAGCACGTTTTTATTCCATGTCAACAACACTATGGAAGGAATCTCGTCAACTCGCTTGTCTCCATTGGGAAGATACGGGTGTCCGATAATGGAATCTTCTTTAAAAAGGGGGTGTTAGGTTGTTAGTAGTTTTGTAATCTCGACTAATTTTATGGTTAGAAATTAGGGTTAGGCGTATGGTAGGACTAGGGATGGGGTTAGGGACATGGTTAGCATTGACATTAGCCAGCCATGTGTGTAATTAGTTAACCACCAGTAACCTAACACCCCCTTTTTTAAAAAGAAGATTCCATTATTGGACACCGGTATAAACATTCACACACTCACTTGTACCCCATTGTCACAAAACACACTATAGACCAGCAGTAAATAGTGGACAAGCACACCATTAACATACCCTCCACAAACAACGGACACCCATACTGTATGCACAGCCAACCAGTGTCAGTTTTTTTTTAACAACACACCCAGTAAAGCATCATTTTGCCATAGACTCCTTACACACTCACTAGCGACAAGACAGCGTACAGACGCCACACGGCTGAGCAGAGTTCACGTTCATGTGTATCGATTATAAACAAACACACGAAGTAACAACACAGTTTCAGTAGTTATAATGTGAAACTTAAAGTAGTCGGAGTTAGAGCACTCATCTAGCTACAATGGCTGTACATCTATTTGCACATCAGGGCACACATACATATACATATATACAAAACAGCACGCCTTCATACATGCAACCTACATACGTAATACATAACTACCTACACAAACACACCTAGTTAGTTTAGCTACACCCTGACACACATAGCTACACACTAGCACTATTATCTATACACCAGTATACCTAGCTACACAACGACACACCTAGCATACCTTCGCACAAACCAGAATACCTACAATCAATACAACATACATACTACGAACCTACCTATACACAAGCACATCTACTACAAACTAATACCCTACTACACACTAGTACATCTACACACTAGCATACCTACTACTAACTACCAAACCTACATACAACATACATACTACAAACCTACCTATACACTAGCTCACTAACACACCTACACACCAGCACAGCTACTTACACACCAGCAAACCTAACTACACACAAACCCTAAATCTAACCCACAACATAAAATTCTATACAAGAATTGAATTGATTTTAAAATTTACGCGCTTATAAAAAAAGCACAGACACATTTTCCTAAACAATTCTAAATATTTCAAGGTTTTAGCCCAGGAGGAAATTACAAATTTCAATAAAATAATGACGTAAATGAAATCCGAAACCTAGTTTTTCTTTTAAACTTTGCTCTTTTCAAAAGCATCGTTGGGAATTTGTTTTTGTTCTTGAAGTTACATGTTTGATGAGAATAAAAAGAAAATTGCCATACACTGCTGTCCTTTGGTCCAGCATATCTGGATTCGTCTATTGTCCTTACGCATTGCTTTTAATAAAAGAAGAAAAAAGTGTTTTGTAAATAGCTTTTTCAGTCATGATTGAGTGTTATTAAATCAGGACAAGACAATATACAATGACAGCATAAAAATAACAATTTCTTTTACTTAGATGGGGGGGGGGGGTCAAATCAGAGGCGTAGCGACTCATCACGGGACGAACTATCAGATTTGTTCCACATGAGCGCCCCTTCTTCCGTTTTACTAGTCACTATCCCTTGACACCTTGACAGTTATTATTATGCTGTTCAAAATTGAAAACAGTTAAGTCGGTCAGAAAAACCAAGCAGTAGTCTATTTTTTTTAAAAACTTCAACAGTGATTTAAAACTATTTTTTTACCCCTTTTAGCGCCGCCTTTTGGTCGGCGCCCGGGGCGACCGCCCTCCCCCTTGCTACGCCTCTGGGTTAAAGTGGGTAGATTTTCCAGGAAAGTTGTCTACACCATCAGCAATCATTGATATAAACACGTGAATTTGAGTTTAAACTAATTAATTGTTATTTAAAAATATGTTTTAGCCTTAATTAATCAATAGTTTCAGAACGATCGAATTCTTAATTGTAAAGCTTGTAGAAAAAAAGCGAAAAAAAAACAACAACAAAACAATAAAATAACCTTTTTTTTTTAACTTCGCAGGTCTCAAGATTTGGTGCTCGAGTTTCCATTGAGAGAGTCGACTTCAGCTTCTGTGTGCGACCGAAGACCTAATGTTACCATACATCAGGATAACCACTACTCCAGGTATCCACACACTTAAGAGTACATCATTCTCATATCACACGTAGAAACAGGTATACTCTACTTCACTTGGGAAGTGGTCTAGCGGTAGAGAGCTGAACTGCTAACCCGTAAGTCTCGCGTTCGTATCCGGGTTCAAGTCAGTAGACCGTCACTGAATCCACCCAACTCTGATGGGTACCTAACTCACGTTAGGGAATGTAAAGGCGGCTGGGCATAGTGCTGACCACACTATCTCTTCATATCACGAGGTCACAGAAACAAGTTAACTTTACTTCACTTTCCTATAGACCGGCAGGTTTTAAAATGGAACTTTACTTTTACTACTTCACTTGCCCTATGGACCTTCAGGTTCAAATAAAGAACTTTACTACTACTTACTACACGTATGTCTAGGTACTTAAGCCCAGCCTTTAAAAACGTAGGCTACAACTTGTTGCCAAAGTTTACTTCTCAGCTTGTTTACAACCGATCAATAGCCATGTATAAGAATGGCCACTCATTCTCGAGTAGTGTAGTTGTAATACAGCTGTCTCGACATCTAACTTGAACCCACCTGTTACTGTCTAAGGTTTTAGTAAAAATCGAATTCTGGTTTTAGCTGGGGAAATAAAACGTATGAAGAAATTTGAAAGATGAATGTGTGAGTTACCACGAAGATACTAGAAAAGCAACACCTGAAAAATAAATACATTTAATGAAGTTCGAAAATTACAAAATTACTTTAAAGATGTCAGCAAAAAGATAGAAGTAACTAAAATAACAACAAAGAGATTATTAAAATAGAAACTGGAATGTGAATTTAAAAAAAATCTTTAGAAGTGATTACAAACTATTTTAAATTTTAAGTGAAATTTTTACTTCGTTTACTCAGACGAAATTTAAAGAAACGGGCGATAAATAATTGCCCAGTGAATTTACTTCTAAAATTACAAAGCCATTTATCTTTTTTTGTGATTATTTAAAATATTTGATCTAAACTCTGCTTAAAAAAACTGAGTGTATAGAAGGGAAGGTAATGCCAACACCAGGCCGTACCAGACATGAAAGTCGCTGGCAGTATCTCTAGGTATCTCTGTGGGGGTGGGGGACAATGACAAACTCGGATACTTGAACTGCTCCCGATCGACAGCACAGGGATGAAATGGAAAAAAATAATAATGTGTGTAGTGGTAGAGAGTTGGACTGCTAACCCGTAAGTCTCGAGTTCGAATCCAGGTTCAAGTCAGTAGACCGTCCCTGAGTCCACCCAACTCTGATGGGTACCTAACTCACGTTAGGGAAAGTAAAGGCGGCTGGGCATAGTGCTGACCACACTATCTCTTCATGTGCAGAGGTCACAGAAACAAATAAACTCTACTTCAGTTGCCACGTATATATATATATATATATATATATATATATATATATATATATATATATATATATATATATATATATATATATATATATATATATATATATATATATATATATATATATATATATATATACACACACACGTAAAAATCGTAAAACAAGCATGCAGACAGAAAGGGAAATGATTTAAACATCTTTGAATTACAATGAGAAAAAAATAATCCTAAGCTTAAAAATGTTTAAAGAATTTAAAGTGCTTAATTCTATACGTCAATCAAGACTCTTTTCTTCTTCTCTGTTCTATTCATAAAATGTCAATTTTGAACTAGATAATTGAATAAACTGTGTAAAGAGAACATGAGTTGTTCTTAAAGTTAAAATCCTATATTTGCAAGGTGTTACATTTTGGTTCTAAAATTAATGGTCGGACATTTGCATTGTATTACATTTGTGTTCTTAAATTGATGGTCCGACTTTTGCATAATGTTATCAACATTTTAACGAAGCAGCTATTCTAGTTGGGAAAAATCAAGACAGAATAAAGAATATGTAGTTTATGCGATAGTAAAGACTATGATGAATCAACCACTAT